TAGACTGTTGGCCTGACTGGTGTTGGTGTGCAAATAATGTGCACTGAATGGCACTGGCAGGCATCCTCTGATGACTGCACTCGGCACTTGACTTACGTTCCCCGCGAAACAAAGCAAAACAAAAGTGCCGATTGCCCATGACACTGCGGCAAAATCCACGCGTCCCGTTACGCACAACAGTGTCAAGAACCGGTGCACTTTCTCGGTGTCAGCAATGGCCAAGTGCCTCTGAGTCGTTGCAGGGGCACCAGCCAGTATGCTCTCCGCCCGCGAGAACTGTCAGCAGCAGAGAACCGTCGGCGGTCACGGCTGGCGCCGCCGCCCGGCGCCCCCCCGCCGCACGATCCGCGCCGGCCCTGACGTCACGCTCAGGTGTGTATGCGAGCGAGGCGTCAGCAGGCGTATACGCGGCCGGCGTGCAAATAAACGAGACGTTAGCGAGCGCCAGTTCGCGGCTAGTGGTGCGTCAGGACTGGGTTGTGATCGGGCTTCGATAGCCGCCCATCCGACCGCCCCTTGACGATATGCGGGTCACTGTGCTTGGAGACACGAGTCATTTGACGCATACGAGCTCGCTGCTGCATTTTCGTGGAAGGCAGATGTCCATGGGCGTTCATCATTGCATGCTTAAAAACATTGAATTCGATGCTGCATGCGTACGATTCAGTTCAGTTTTCTAGAGCATGAATCGATGCTGCCGATCGTGTCAACCCAGCAAGATAGGACGATGTGCCGTAATCGTCGATAGTCCATGCGCTCTTCATTTCTATCAAAACATCTGCTCGCGTGTTATAGCCATTGGCCTTTACGTAGCACCTTTTCACCTAGCGTTTGACAAATCAGTCACAATCATGAGTCCTCCATGTCTATCAAAACATCTACTCGCGTGTTATAGTCATCGGCCTGTACATGACACCTCATCACTCAGCGTTTGAGGAATTAGTCAAAATCACTCATTAATCTCTCCGCGACAGATAACGCGCCGCTGCGGCTGACTGCTCTTGTCACCTGTCGCCACATGGATGACCTCCACATTATGAACAGACGACGGTTAATCGGGGTCAGTGACGCTACCAAGAAGTTTGCATCATTTGCATCGATGAAATGCTAGACAGGTGATGTCGGTCACCCCTCGAAATATAATTGTTCCACGTGTTAGAGTGCGATGCTGCACATGTAGGACGACAAGTGGATACGCATGATTGTCCTGGTACCAGTCACGTTCCTGTATCGCAGGTCATGCACCGCCCTAACGCCGCCAAAAGGGGCGTATTTCGGGCAAACTCAGTTGAGGGGTGGGACTAGGTAGAGATGTCAACAGCTTCTCGCATCCTTACACCTAATTAGATTTATCTATAGATTTTCCCAATTGCGTCAGAGCTGGGGGAGACCGACAAGCCGGGCACTGTTACAACAACTTTGGAAAGGCAACCGATGGGAGGGGATAAGGCCCTCGAGCTGGATGTTAAACTGCGCTCCTGTACCAAGACGTTGCATCTCTAGTCACGAGGTTAAGGTTGACGTCCAGCTGCCTTTCATATACAATGCAAGTGATTTGTTATTCTGCTAGTTCCGTGCTGCTTTCAGTTAGGTCATTGGCCACTGCCGTATGCTATTGCTGTCAACGGATTACTCTCAATTAATACGTCGCCACTTCCAGCTGTGATTGTGTGCGTGATCAGTAGGTCATCATTCACAGTTGGAGTTGGCCCTAGTCTTTCAAACAAGTCTCTTGTTGGCGTTGTGGGAAATCACGACGCTTACAAAAACAGGAGGCTGGAGGGATTGAATCAGCACTCGCCGCGGACCGCTGCGCAGTCCTTTTTATAAAGCGCCGCCGACCACGGTGGTTACATTGGCGCCCACAGGCAAACAGACATCGAACCTGAACATCCCACGTGGAAGTCCGAGTCCGTCCCAACTGCGTTGTTCACGGGCGCGGTACGAGGGGGCGTGGGTCAGAGACCAACAAACTTTGTGAAAATTTAACATTGGTCCCATGAGGGTTGACTGGAACGACGTAACCAAAAATTATGCTACCCTCTGCCTTGCCCCAACTTGGAAAACCTCCACTGCCCCTGGTGCTGTTATGCCCCTCCTCGACTGCACGACGCCACGCCACGACCAGTCATCACGAGTGACAGCAAAACGTCTCACGAGGTCCTCGCCGTCGGAGCGGCCTCCAGCACTCGCGGCCCCGGCCACAGAGATCACTCACCGTCGTGGTCGGGCCGCCGGCGTCGAAGGGCGACTGAGAGCGCGGGCGAGCCCCGCTGGCCGTGCCGGCACTACTGGCCCTGTCGGCAGCCGCGCCCTGGCCCAGCGCGCCCGGGGCTAATTCTGACCTGATATTAAACTTGGCAGCGGCGCCGAGCGGGCCGCGCCGCCGCGCCGCCGCGCGCCGGGCGCACACAGGTGGGCACGCCGCGCCCGGAGGACCGCGTGCCGGCGTCACGGAGGTCGCGGGCCGCCTGCCGGAGCGGAGCGCGCGGCGACGGTGCAGCCGAGGCACGCGAGGACCGGCTGCCAGACGGACGGACGGACGGACGGCGCTGAGGCGCGCTGTGGCGGCTAAGAGCGACGCGGAAGTGTGGCGCGCGGCAGTGAGCGCTGCTGAGAGCGCCGGCGAGTTTCGACAGGCCGCTGGAGCGGTACGTACGCCCTGCAGGTAACCTTGCGGCGCGGTCCTGCGGCAGCGGGCGCCGAGCCGGCCCCGCCTCCATCTGACTGGCTCGGCTCGGCTCGGCTCGGAGCGCGCCAGGCCTTGGTGACCGTGGGTGGCGTCGCAGCTGACGTCAGCGACGCGGAACAGCCCCGGGATATTTGCGGAAGTCTCCACGGAGCAGCCCGCCGTCGGCCAGGACCGTCTGGTTAGTGCAGCCAGGTCCGCTCCATATCGGTCCAACTTCTCGGTGGTAACTGCTCCGACGCGACCAAACGTCACCAGACGGTCGGCTCCGCCGCTATCAACGCCTGCGGCACTCGGCAGCCTGTGGCGCAGTTCGTCCAGCACCAGCATGAACCCAAGCCTCTAGAGAAAACCAACAGGTGTGGAGGGTTCTGAGCACATCGACTGCGAGAAGTCATGCAATACCAAACAGGATCAGTGCATGCTAATCCTGTGTTGGACCAGCGATATGGATGACAACATAAATCTTACCATCGTCATGTTAGACTCAGTGTTGCGCTAATGCCTATGTCAAGGATGTTAGTTAATTTCACTGCTATAGAACGTTGTGGATACAATAATCGCTTTCACGTGCTTTGCTTCGACACATATCGCTGGTCACACGCGCGCAAAAGATCACTTTGAAGTGACGTGGGGCCAAATCGTGTTTGTCTTTATACAAATAGTTTCGTAATTCGGCTTCACCTTGTGGGTGGTATTTTCACAAGAAATATTTTCACTGGGCAGTTGTTCGCTCGACATCTGACAGCAACGAAGAATGCAAAATTATTTCCACAGCTGATAAAATACATCCTAGATGAAAAGTGCACCATGACCCAAACAGTTTGCAACTTGCAGCTGAAAACGCCTCTGTCGGAATCGGCTAAAAACGACAAACCAGTCAATAGAAGAAGAACATTGTTTGCGTGCAACTTGCGTGCACCGCGTCAAAACGTGGAATCACGCAAAGCGGGCATGCCTGTAGAACACGAGCGACTTTGTAGAAAAATCGGCAGCCGTAGCGTACAGAAGGATGTATTGCACATTGCCAAGGTCAGAACACGACAGATCCCTATTCCGATGCCCAGCAGCACACTCCTACTTCACCACACAGTATCTAGATACTTTATTCAGCGCGACACGTTCAGATACTTCCCTTCATTCAGACCTCCACACCGCAGCACTATCAGGCTCTGTCACGTGGCAAGGCCGTCGCGTCACGTGACAGCTACCCTCCCAGCAGTTCTACCCGCCTGAGAAAACTGTCTTTTTCTCCCGAGTACCTGTATACACATCACTGAGAATTTTGCATCTTCGGACACGAGAAATCGTTGGCATACTCCTCTAACGTTTCCGAGGTCCGGCGTGGCTAGCACACTGGCAGAATCACACGAACTGTCTGGAGCAGCACGCTGCTCCAAACACGAACCACTCGCATCACTCACTTCGCCCACTTCGGGCGAGCGCACGGAGCTAGGACACGCTTACGGTTCAGCGGCCGGTGCGGTCCCATGCGCCCTACATCCGAACTGACCCCGAACACCGTCACCGCTGCACCACCGAAGCCGACGCGGCACGCGGCGCTGTCGTCATGACGCCGCCGCGGTCTGCGGCAGTGATTTGGGTACTGCTGCAACTGGCCGGCACAGCAGCGGGGTGCAGCGCCGGCAGACGGCTGAAAAGGCGTGTGTGGTGCTCAGTGTCGTCAGCCGACACTCGGCTGCGAGTCGCGCAAACCGCAAACGTCCAGGACAGCTGCCGCGATCAGGAGCCGGACTCGGTGGCTGCACCTATCGGCGGACACGCGGCGAGAGGTCCATGCGGTCGGCGATGAGGGGTCAGCACAAATGCTCCAGAGCACGGACAAACACGAGCACACATACGCCAACGTGTGTGTAAACGGGCACGGGCACACGAACACAGTGGTGCAAGAGGAAAATATGGGTTAACCAACGTAACTGAGGAAAAGGCAGCATCTGAGATCGGAGCGCCTGTCGGCGGATGAACAATGCTGCTGATGCCGAATAAAACAAGGTTCGAAAGCTATAAGCCACTCACTGTGATGGGTACCGAAAAGTGTGGTACAAACAGATTTTCCTTGACAAGTCGCTGAACTACATCTTCCGCACACGCGTGAACACACATTTAGGACGATATCAACAAACTGGCGACTGCAAATGTAAGTTGAACAAGCCTTTGAGATCTACCGCATCAACAACGAGGCTCGCGTCCCACCTGGCATCCCAGCCGTTAGGGCCGTACCGCGCAGGCCGGATCGGGTCAGGCCAGGTCAGCTGTCGGCGTCACGGCGCCGCAGCCGTCCGAGGAAGGCGTCCAGCAGGCGGTCAGCGGCGGCGCCGGGCGGCAGCCGGCCGCGGCGCACGTCCTTCTCCAGCCGCGGCAGCAGCGCGCTCACCACGGCGTCGCGCCGGAACGCCGCCACCACCGCCTCCTGGATCTGCGCCCACAGCCAGACGGCGCGCTGCCGGCGGCGCCGTGCCGCCAGCTGGCCGTCGGCTGTCATCTGACGCCGGTAGCCCTCCAGCGCGGTCCACAGCTCGGCGAGGCCCTCGCCGGAGCGCGAGGACACGCGCAGCACCGGCGGTTTCCAGCCGGCCTGGCGCGGCCGCACGAACTTGAGCGCCGACAAGTACTCGGCCTGGATGCGGCGCGCCGCCGCCACCAGGTCGCCGTCGCTCTTGTTGATGACGATGACATCAGCCAGCTCCACGATGCCGCGCTTCAGACCCTGAGCCGGCCGGACGCCCGGTCAGGACACCAGAGCGCGGGAGGCATTGCTACCGCGCTCACCCTCACTGGCGTGGAGGCCTCTATGCCAGTTGGCATCGGAGGCAAACAGGGGCTTCAGCCCGGCTCAATAAGCGAATTGTGTCGCCGAGGACGGTGAGCAACAGCGCACGCTCAAGTTTTACCCACATGGAGGAAAACAACGCATTCCAAAAGGCTCGGCATGGATGCGGACAGCATTGAGACTTAAGGCCGTTACAAGCATAGCTTCGTTCACGCGGCCTCAAAATCTCCCTAGCGAGCCGAGCCCGGCACCCCTCGCCTGAGCTCTCGCCGGTCCTCACCTGGAGCTCGTCACCGCCGGCCGGCGGCATCAGCAGCACGAACACGTCCACCATGTCGGCCACGCTGATCTCCGACTGGCCGACCCCTGACAACACGGCCTCGCTCAGGCGGCGATCAGCACGGGCGGTGAGGTGGGCATCAAATGTCCCAACCGCTCAGCAGCGGCTCACGCAACTCTCGCTGTGGCGCCGGCCTTCAGGCGGCCCGAACGGATGACACGATATGTCGCAAAACGGGAACATTCAACTTGGGATGTGAGGAGAAGGCCGCAAGACGATGACAATCTTTATCAACAGACAATATGAGATGGATAGGAATACCCCACGGCGAGCGATTGCAGAGTACAAACTATTGCGGATCATACTCCAATCTTCATGAAATACTGCCTTTGTCATTTTCTAATTCAAATTATTGCAGATATCTACCCAGCCTATGCACCATGCCAGCAAATGTGAAAGAAGCGTAAGGCTCGCCCGATACCAGCCTTAAGACCCGTCGGTCCCGGGTCGGCCCGCCTGCGGCAGACAGAGCGCTACTCGGCCCTCTGACGCCACGCACCGACCGTCTCCACGATGATGACGTCATAGCCGGCCAGCTCGCAGAGCAGGATGGTCTCGTTGGTGGACCGCGTGACGCCGCCGAGGTGACCGCGGGTGGGTGACGGCCGGATGTAGGCGGCCGGGTCCACCGTCAGACGGGGCATGCGCGTCTTGTCACCCAGCAGCGAGCCTGGCGGGGGTTAAGCACGGGGGCGGGGGTTAGGCACGGTGACGACCGTCAGCACGCCTGCAGGCACATACGCCTAAGTACATGGACGCACGTACGCACGCACGCACACACTAACACACGCGCTCTCACAGAACAGCTGAGAGATGGACCGGGACGACAGGACAATGTGTCCCTCTTGTTGCCATGTCAGGAGGAACACCAAATACCTGTGTACACCATTCACTGGAACTTCAGTTTACAGCTTCCATCACCAAAACGTAATTGCTGAATGGCGTGAATTATCTTAAGATGCCGCAGGGGTTTCTCCAGACACAGACGCCTTAGTTCGCTGTCTGCCGAGAAGTGATCGGATATCGGGTACAGTTTACCTCCTGTTGTGCTTGATGACGGATCGACAGCCAGTACAGCCAATCGGTGTCCAGTTGCAGTTAGCTGCTTGCCTAGGCTCTCGATGAAGGTAGATTTTCCGGCGCCAGGTGGTCCAGACAAGCCTGGAACACATAATACCAGCCATGCAGCAGGTTCTGCATCATGTTTTATGCATGAGGAAAAACATTTTTGCAGTGGTGCTTAACAGAATATATATTTCATTTAAAAACAAACATGATAAGCATGCTGCCACGTCCACATTAAATTGGTACAATTATCTGACAAATGCAATGATCAGAAAATTTTGTTCAGGGCACCATAGTAAGAAATGGATGTTTTAAGCTGTGACTAACATGCTATGCGTAAAATACAATTATGCACTAAAAAAACATTAGTTTGTTGTTCAGTTGGGTACTAAATTAACTAATTAGGAGAAAACTTACCTAATTGGGAGTTAAATGATACTTAGACTGGATATCATAACATTTTCAAGCATAACCAGTTAGCACACTAACCTATTCGAAATGACACTGGTGCACCATTCCTCTCCTCTTCTTGCTGCTTTAGGTTGTTTGCAACCATTGAAAGCAAGCTTTGAGCAAGCTTTTTCTTATCAGGATTTGATGTTTCTACCAGAGTAATTGACCTAGCTAAGCTGGTTCTGTTCCTTGCACACAGGCCTTCAAAAAGTTCTTCCACCATGAGATCAGTTGCTTTATTGGATGTCTGCCTGCACAGGTATTTTCCAGCATATTTGTGAAATCTATAAGCCCTTAATAATGAGCCTGAATATAAATGCATGTTATGCATTCAGTAATGTTTGATTTTCTTGGTGTTTCTGGAACAGGAAAATAGTGAAACGTGACACATCAGGTTCAAAGTGGATTCAGTTGACAAGTTACATAATTTTTAATCATGACAGAGTACCTGATAACATGAGATTGGGGTGAAAGGCATTTTATCCTCTTAAACCTGGCTATAAATGATGGCACTGGCCTCAAATATTGCAAATATGGCAGACTTCACCTATTACAAATTGAAACTCGTATTCTATTTCTCGCACTGACTTCAGTTTCTGACATGAGGTCTGTTTTTTCACACTGATTAGATGTGCAATATAATCCACTTACAACATGACATGACAGGACTGTCTTCCACCACTAAAAAGAGGACACAGGATCCTGAACATGAAGTTTGTGCCAGAAAAAATCTTCTTTTGCAAAAATGGAAAGTGAGACTCCTGTTTTCATATGGTACATGGTATTTGTGATTTCACATTGAGAAATCCCAAGAACTCATAACAAAACCCAGCTTTCAGCTGACTTTTTACCCTGCCAGCAAACCAGTGGCCTCTCCCACAAATGTTCTGGTATATTTACAATCCATGATCTGCTTGGCTTTGGTTCCATCATGTTCTAATGATGGCAGGGCAGCATGCACAGCTGATGTGCATGCAAAGCACCTGTGGCACAAAAATGTGGGCATTTCTTTACATGCAGCAGAGCAGTAGTTTAACTGGCATAAAGCAACAAACCTGACAAACCACAACCACTTGATGTAAATCACAGCATGACCCGAGGTTGGCACAGCCAATGGGCATGGGCTGAACTTCCTATTCATTTGGGGAGACACCAGCTCCTCCGAAGCTCGAGACGGTGGACAAAAACCAGAAAGAAATCTGCTTGTCGGCGTATTTTGTGGGTGGGCTGCGTTACTTTACACAGCTCGGCTCACCTCACTTTTCACTTTGTGAAACCATGTCCCTAAATGAGCCCAACAATATTCATTCACCCCCCCCCCCCCCACACTCCCAAGCCTGAATGCGTGGACGTGCAGCCACGAATTCAACACCCTACCAATGCCCCGTACTCCAAAAGTATCCCCAATTGCCCCGTTATAACCGCGACCTACCAGCGTTAACACCAGCCGTGGCCACAGTAGCCCAACTTACCCAGACTTTTTCAGCACCGCAGGCGTATTTTGAATCACAAGCGCTATAGTCGAGTGCACCGGCTTGCTCCCATATCCAGTTGGCAGCGGGAAATTACCAAGCGGAACCGAAAAATGAGACTACAGAAAGTGAGACGCAGGCCTATGAAACGCAGCTGTGTATTTTTCGCAGATACGAAGAACAGCCAACAGCAAGCAGCAATGACACCATTGCCATGAGTCGCCACCACGCATCACCTGCATTTTACGATCAGAAGACACATACGAATGTAACGTCCAGTCAGCCAGTGAGACACTCCAAAAGTCTACTGCACTTTCAACAGCACTGACACCGCTGTTTGGCTCCCGTAGTGAGGACCTCAGACAGCGGTGTGGACGTAGGCCCGTAACATGGTGGGCCAGTGTAGATAAGTGCATAACCCCAATGGAACGTCGTCAAAGATAACCGACAAACGTGGCACGTCTCAAGATGACATGTCTGGTGACGTAACACGGGTCTCATCATTGCACTCGCCACAGTGCAATTTCTTCGTCCATACCAAAAACCGGCCAGCGCCTGTCCCCCTTCACAGCATCGACTGGCAGCTGACGGCCCTTGTGGCCCACACGCGAGCCGCGCGCTGACGAGCGCAGTCGTCCCACGGCTCGGTCCGGCGGCGGCGGCGGTCAACGACGCGGCCCGTGCTCCAGGCCGTGCCGGATGACCTCCAGATCGGCCATGTCCGTCCGGATAACGCTGACCAGCTGGCGCAGGCCGTGCTGCTGGGAGCGCAGCAGCTGGCGGATCTCGTCCTGGCCGGCCGGGTCCATCGTGTACCGGTCGCCGCGCTGCAGCACCTGCTGACTCTGCAGCCGCGTCTGCGACAGCAGCTCGTTCAGACGGCCCTGCGGCAGACGAGCCCGTGCCACGCGTTGTGACTGACACCTGAGGTGCTCGACGTTGGGCGGCCAGGATCAGAGGCGGAGGGAGGCGGGTCATGCGCCTTACTCGAAACCACGGGTGCTCGGCAGCGGGCGGTCGGGGTCAGAGGCAGAGGGTGGGTGTCACGCACCTTACCTGAGACCATAGGTGCTCGGCACGGGGCGACCAGGGTCGGAGGCAGAGGGTGGGTGTCACGCACCTTACCTGAGACCACAGGTGCTCGGCACCGGGTGATCAGGGTCGGAGGCAGAGGGTGGGTGTCACGCGCCTTACCTGAGACCATGGGTGCTCGGCACCGGGCGGTCAGGGTCAGAGGCAGAGAGTGGGTGTCACGCGCCTTATCTGAGGCCATGGGTGCTCGGCGCCGGGCGGTCAGGGTCAGAGGCAGAGAGTGGGTGTCACGCACCTTACCTGAGGCCATGGGTGCTCGGCACCGGGCGGTCAGGGTTAGTGGCAGAGGGGACAGTCACACGTCATACCTGAGAACATGTGTGCTCGGCGCAGGGCGGCCAGGCTCAGAGGCAAAAGTGAAAATATTACGTACCGCGCCCCAGGTGGCACCCCGCACTGGGGTTCCGCCCGGAGTCAAATAAGAGCGAGTCATGGCGTCGCTGCAGCTGTACTCTATCTTAGGGTGCATCCCAGTGCGTGTCCAACCGACGCTTACAAACACAGCCGGCCGGCGACAGCGTACATACGGCGCGGTCGGGTCAACACACTCCACCAACCCACTCCCGTCTGACACAGGCGCCTCACGGCCACACTTCGCCGAGACACTACCGCCAGGGCTGAAAAGGCGTCACAGAGCTGCCGCCGAGGCTGAGAGGGCGTCACTGAGAACTGCCGCCGGGGATGACAGAGCGTCACTGAGAACTGCCACCGGGGCTGAGAGGGCGTCACTGAGAGCTGCCGCCGGGCTGAGAGGGCGTCACTGAGAGCTGCCGCCGGGGCTGAGAGGGCGTCACTGAGGACTGCCGCCGGGGCTGAGAGGGTGTCACTGAGAGCTGCCGCCAGGGCTGAGAGGGTGTCAATGCGAGCTGCCGCCGGGGCTGAGAGGGCGTCACTGAGAGCTGCCGCCGGGGCTGACAGGGCGTCACTGAGAGCTGCCGCCGGGGATGAGAGGGCGTCACTGAGAGCTGCTGCCGGGGCTGAGAGGGTGTCACTGAGAGCTGCCGCCAGGGCTGAGAGGGTGTCAATGCGAGCTGCCGCCGGGGCTGAGAGGGCGTCACTGAGAGCTGCCGCCGGGGCTGCGAGGGCGTCACTGAGAGCTGCCGCCGGGGATGAGAGGGCGTCACTGAGAGCTGCTGCCGGGGCTGAGAGGGCGTCACTGAGAACTGTCGCTAGGGCTGAGGGGGCGTCACTGAGGACTGCCGCCGGGGCTGAGAGGGTGTCACTGAGAGCTGCCGCCAGGGCTGAGAGGGTGTCAATGCGAGCTGCCGCCGGGGCTGAGAGGGCGTCACTGAGAGCTGCTACCGGGGCTGAGAGGGCGTCACTGAGAACTGCCGCCAGGGTTGAGAGGGCGTCACTGAGAGCTGCTATCGGGGCTGAGAGGACGTCACTGAGAACTGCCGCCAGGGCTGAGAGGGCGTCACTGAGGACTGCCGCCGGGGCTGAGAGGGTGTCACTGAGAGCTGCCGCCAGGGCTGAGAGGGTGTCAATGCGAGCTGCCGCCGGGGCTGAGAGGGCGTCACTGAGAGCTGCTGCCGGGGCTGAGAGGGCGTCACTGAGAACTGCCGCCGGGGCTGAGAGGGCGTCACTGAGAGCTGCCGCCAGGACAGCTGTACCTTGAACTGCGTGGGCGTGGCCAGCTCGTCCTGCAGCGCCTCCAGCTGGACGCGCAGCCGCTCCTCGTGCGGCTGGATGCTCCAGCCCTGCTTGCGCAGCACCTCCTGACGGACCAGTACCTGGCGAGCGGAGGGCGGGCTGTCAGGCGAGCTGCCCCGGCCCACTCCCGCTCCACGCTCGCCGCCGTCCACAGCCGCCCGGTTAACCCGTGCGGTGTTCTCGCACGAACAGCAGGTGGGACATGACTGGAAAACCCCGTAGCAGCCGGCGCAGCTTCGTCGACCATCATCCGAGACAAGGTCACCTCCCACGGCCATCCGTGATGACAGTCGCCATCTCACACGATGCACCAAGCCAACATTACGACACGATTCGAGATTGCAAGCCTCCTCCAACTTAGGTTCGCAGGATTTCCAGTTAAATATGGTGCCAACGAATCAACTCGAGTCACGTTGTGGGGAGCCGTTTTATGAGGCGACTCGAGGGGGTAATATTACGTCGCGCGTCGTATTACGGGCCAAGTTCCATGGCATCAATCGGGAATCGAGCCCCGGCCCTGACATCGGCATCCGCGATCCTGCTGAAAAAACACGAGCACTTAATGAAACGCATGGGACTGAGTTCATGCAGCCGTCGGCGGTCCGTGATCAGACCTCGCACTGCTCACGCATTCGCCTACCGAGCGCTCCAGTTCAAAGATACACGGCACCCCAGGCTGCCCTGCGGCAGCCGATAAACCAGCTGGCACCCGCAGTGTAAAGCGCAACACACCAAGACGACGGCCTCTGACCAACGAACGCCAGGTGTTCTGCGGCCGCAGTCACCCAAGGAAGATTTTCCGTTAAGTGTAAATATATGAGGAGTGGGATGCGTATTATAGACACTTTCTTCATTTCGGGAACGAGCGCTTGTTGGCCGATTCAAAAGTGAAATTTCTAAAATGATTTACCAGTGAAACCCAATTTCACCTGTCCTAGCTAAATCACTGCATACTTTATGAAATAACCGTATGCCGCATCTCCGCAATCACCAGCGACGAGTAAACAAACTGATGCGTACACAATTATCATTATCATTACAAACGTGTAAACAACAACCCCACCCCCGTATTCGCACGCGTCTGCTATCTGCTATCTGCGATCTGCGATCTACGATCTGCGTTCTGCGGTCTGCGGTCCGCGATCTGCGATCTGCGTTCTGCGGTCTGCGGTGCGCTTAACCCCACCTTGAGTATGCGGTGCGAGAGCTCGAGGTTGCTACGTTTCAGCTGTCCCAGCCGGGCGGCGGTGGAGGCCTGCGTCTTCTGCAGGCCGGCGATGTCGGAGGCGATCAGGTCCAGCCGGCGCTGCTGGTTCACGCTCTCCTGCTCCTGCCGGCCGCGGTGGGAGCGCGCTCGGTCCCGAGGCGCATGCGCACCACCAAACTCACCGGCGCAGAACGCCAGCAGACGGGCGAGCGCGCCGACGACGACGTTCAGTGGCACAGACAGCCGGTAACAGGCGGCATCATCTGGCTTACGGGTGTGAGGTGCGGCAATTATTGCGGCTGAATTTGTTTGCTGCACTCATTCTATGAGCTTGTTCAATAGGCAAGCACCTGTAGTGTTACAGACAGTAACACCAAACACCCAGGATTGGCAGCACCACAGCACACATCCGGGCAAGTCACTACGCGAAGCAGGCCGGTCTCGTTTTTAAAACCGACAAAAGCACAGGGATCGAGGCGACTCCTCAAATGTGCTCGCTTTTCATGTATGGCGTCATATTCGCATGCATGGAGGGAAAACCACTCCCCACGCCACATCTGAGGAGACCTCCGCCGCGACACATTGCCAAGGTTACCCTGTATTATTTTGCCAACAGATACGACCAAATTACCCCATAGCTCGGGCCCTGGCTCAGATGAGGTGTTCGTATCCACACAAAAACGACGCGCCTCACGCAAAATTTTACTCAAGCAAGCAAAAAATCACTCAATAAATACTCATAGCACTGTATAATAATACATAATGCCATAAATACAATGCCACAAATATATATTTATTAATATATTATATGTATATATATATATATATATATATATATATATATATATATATATAATACAATAGCATACAATACCATAGAATAGAGCAAAATAAATTCATAGCCAATACAGCACATACAAATTAAATAAAGCGAGCACTCAAGCAAATCATTTGTGAGCTTTCTATTAAGACCGCACGTAGTTTTTCAAATCACGCTTGTTTTGCGTTCGTCGGCAATGCATGGAGGGCAGAGCTTCCGACCCCAGGATGCATAAACCCCCAAGGACCGCCGCCTGGTGTGCCGGGACACCGACCTGACACTGAATCCTCCTATGCAGCTCCTGGAATCCGATCATCGGTACGGGAATCATGGTTTTCGGGTCGGGGTTATCCTTCTTGGCCTGCTCCCAGATCAGCTTATCGATTCCTGAATCAGGACAAGGTCCACACAAGTCAACACAATTTCCGCGCGTTCGGTTTCGAAAAACGCGTATAAGGCCACTTGGCTGAATCCATTTCAGCCACATGTAAGTGCTTAGCGGCATCAATTGGTCACAGCATTCAGAGACTACGTGGTAAAAGCTCGTGGACATATTCATGGACTCATAACAAAATACACACTGCGTCACGAAGGCGTCTTACGGCCCACGGGCAGAGGGAGATCGGACTCCACGTGCCGCAGGCGATGCCTGAAGGAAGCGTACCAACAGCCGAAACATTTGACTGGCGACCTGTCGCCGGACGGGCGAGGGGTGGTACGTACCGGCAGGTGGGTTGTCCAGGTAGAGCTGCAGCTGCTCGGCGGAGGGGGCCACCAGGGCGCACAGCTCCTCCAGCGCCAGCGCCGCCAACTGAGTGCGCTGGGCCGGCGCCGCCAGGTGGCTGTGAAGGTCAGAGGCTGGCACGCGCCGGACCGCACCTGCCGAGACAGGTGACGACAGGTCAGCACACGCCCAACACGCCATGTCGAGGTCACGACACACCGACGGCGCCGTCACTATCAGGTCATGTGTGAGCGTCAGCGGCACCATCAGGTCACCGCAACGTTAGGTCACGGCACTGTCAGGTCACCGCACCGTCAGGCCACGGCACAGTCAGGTTACAGCACCGTCAGGCCACGGCACCGTCAGTTCACGGCACAGTCAGGCCACGGCACCGTCAGGCCACGGCACCGTCAGTTCACGGCACAGTCAGGCCACGGCACCGTCAGGCCACCGCACAGTCAGGCCACGGCACCGTCAGGCCACAGCACCGTCAGGCCACGGCACCGTCAGGCCACCGCACCGTCAGGTCACGGCACCGTCAGGCCACGGCACCGTCAGGTCACGGCACAGTCAGGTCACGGCACAGTCAGGCCACGGCACCGTCAGGCCACGGCACCGTCAGGTCACGGCACAGTCAGGTCACGGCACAGTCAGGCCACGGCACCGTCAGGTCACGGCACAGTCAGGCCACCGCACCGTCAGGTCACCGCACCGTCGGGTCACCGCACCGTCAGGCCACGGCACTGTCAGGTCACCGCACCGACAGGCCACAGCACCGTCAGGCCACAGCACCGTCAGGTCACCGCACCGACAGGCCACGGCACTGTCAGGTCACCGCACCGACAGGTCACAGCACCGTCAGGCCACCGCACCGACAGGCCACCGCACCGTCAGGCCACAGCACCGTCAGGCCACCGCACCGACAGGCCACGGCACTGTCAGGTCACCGCACCGTCAGGCCACGGCACCGTCAGGTCACCGCACCGACAAGTCACAGCACCGTCAGGCCACAGCACCGTCAGGTCACGGCACAGTCAGGTCACGGCACAGTCAGGTCACCGCACCGTCAGGCCACGGCACTGTCAGGTCACCGCACCGACAGGCCACAGCACCGTCAGGCCACAGCACCGTCAGGTCACGGCACCGTCAGGCCACGGCACCGTCAGGTCACGGCACAGTCAGGTCACGGCACAGTCAGGCCACGGCACTGTCAGGCCACGGCACCGTCAGGCCACAGCACCGTCAGGCCACGGCACCGTCAGGCCACGGCACCGTCAGGTCACGGCACAGTCAGGCCACGGCACCGTCAGGTCACCGCACCGTCAGGTCACCGCACCGTCAGGCCACGGCACTGTCAGGTCACCGCACCGACAGGCCACAGCACCGTCAGGTCACCGCACCGACAGGCCACGGCACTGTCAGGTCACCGCACCGTCAGGCCACGGCACTGTCAGGTCACCGCACCGTCAGGTCACGGCACCGTCAGGTCACCGCACCGTCAGGCCACGGCACTGTCAGGTCATCGCACCGACAGGCCACGGCACAGTCAGGTCACGGCACCGTCAGGTCACGGCACCATCAGGCCACGGCACCGTCAGGTCGCGGCACTGTCAGGCCACGGCACTGTCAGGTCACCGCACCGTCAGGCCACGGCACAGTTAGGCCACGGCACCGTCAGGTCATGGCACCGTCAGGCCGCGACACCGTCAGGCCACGGCACAGTTAGGCCACGGCACCGTCAGGTCATGGCACCGTCAGGCCGCGACACCGTCAGGTCACGGCACCGTCAGGCCACGGCACCGTCAGGTCGCGGCACTGTCAGGCCACGGCACTGTCAGGTCACCGCACCGTCAGGCCACGGCACAGTTAGGCCACGGCACCGTCAGGTCATGGCACCGTCAGGCCGCGACACCGTCAGGTCACGGCACCGTCAGGCCACGGCACCGTCAGGCCACGGCACCGTCAGGCCACGGCACCGTCAGGCCGCGACACCGTCAGGTCACGGCACCGTCAGGCCACGGCACAGTCAGGCCACGGCACCGTCAGGTTACAGCACAGTCAGGTCGCGGCACTCAAATCATGTAATATCGAGGCAGAGATGCGACGGCATACGCTCCTTCATAACATAATGCTGCTGCTCCGTCTTGGACTGGGAGCACGCTGTGCTTGAAAGTAATAACAGCATTCGAGCCCGGTATTCTGCGATTCTTGCTGCTATGTAAATTGTCATGCATCACGTGGAACTTTGCGCTTAACAGTGTTCCAGTGAAACTGTCGGCTGAGTCCTCATGACCTATGGCAGGTCATCAGGCAAACGGAAGCTGAGCAACGACAGAATATCATAGCAAGGTCCCTGATGGCTTCTTACTCGTCGCTGCAGGCACGCCATGGACCACGAAGCGCGAGGCGAAATCAGTCAGCCATTGACAAATGCCAGGTACTGGTGCGGTGTGATTGCGCCGTGCGGCCGAGAAGGGGAGTATCGCTGGGGCCAGCGGGACCTCAGGGACAGGCTGGCGGCGCCCTGGGCCGTGGCGGCCAGCAGAGGCAGTGGGCCAGCATGCAAGGCAGCATGCAGCTATGGTCTGGCAATGCATGTGCTCAATGCTACAGTATAGTGTTGTTCACTTCACGACGTATAAAATAAAAATGTCGGGCTGCCCAATGTCCCGAGTCAAAGTCTTGCGCAGCATGCGCAATCCATGAAGCATAACGTCCGGTGCCCACAGAATGCCTGAGAATGCCTGATCACTTCGCGCGAATTGCACTTGAGCATTAAGTTTCGTAATCTACATTTGAATGAAATGTCAGCCTGCATTTCGAACGCTCACGAGTCGCATGTCGGCTTTCCACGTTCTGAGAGAAGTATGCGAAAACGCAAGCCACCAGAAGATCCCTTTGCATTGGCTCATTCGAGAAGATCCCTTCCCAGTGGCCCATTCATCTGACCCGGCTGCGCACCGCCGAAACTGTGGGACGGAACTGGCGCCGGTGGCTCCGGCCGCTACACTTACCGTTGGGACTGCGCTCCTGCACGTAGATCTGCACCTCGGTCTTGTCCGGGCCCGTGGCGCGCACGCTATCCACACAGACAGAGAGCGAGGCGGCGCCACCGAGCAGGCCCGTCACCGCGGCCACGATCTGCTGCTGGCCGCTCCTGGGGGAGGGAGGGGGGGGGGGGGCGTCACACGGAGAGGGAGGCGGACCCGTCACCGCGGCCACGATCTGCTGCTGGCCGCTCCTGGGGGGGGCGTCACACGGAGAGGGAGGCGGACCAGTCACCGCGGCCACGATCTGCTGCTAGCCGCTCCTCGGAGTGGGTGAGAGCGTCGGACGGAGAGGGAGGCAGACACCGTGTGCACAGCCCGCTGTGAACCACCCGGATGCGGGGGAGCGGTCAGAGTTGAGGAAGACGCGTCAGCCTTCGCCAGGAGGGCGGGACCGGCATACGCAGACAGACCGACTGCGAGCACGCTTTTCCACGCTTCGACCCTAGTCCACGTGGCGTTGCAAGTGTCGATGCATCGAAGTTGCACATGAAGAATTGCGACACCACGAATAGTATCGACTCAAAGGCACAACACCGCAAATATCATGCGCATATTGCAGCTGTCTGGCGAGCGGCTAGCATTTCACGTAGTTATAACGCATGTGTACTACTAACAGTCACATCTGTACATGCAGTCACATCAACAGGCCACACAAATATCAACAGTCGGCGGAGGACGGACACAGGGAACAGTGTGTGGGCAACAGGCGGCAGTGATAATAAGGTCCGAATTTCAGTAAACAGAACACGCGCGGAGACGGCAGTAGTGGGCACGCAGCCAGCTGAGCGGGCCGGAACCACCACGTGAGTCACCAAATCCCGGCACTCCGATGGTGCATGCCCGTGCCGCTGGTGGTCAGTTCGGCTGATGTCACGCACGCCTGTGCGATCCCGCTGAGTGGTGACGCGCGCTCACCTGACGTCGGCCCTGATGACGTCACACCAGCTGACGTCCGTTACCGTTTGGGTGGTGACGCGCGCTCACCTGACGTCGGCCTCCTTCTTGTTGAGGCGCATCACCACCAGGCCGTTCTCGTTCTTGGCGGTCGGCAGACGCGCGTACCCGACCGCCTTCATCAGGCAGAACGGGTTGTCGGCGCCGAAGTCGACGGCTGGCCGGCCAACGGCATAAAATCCTGCCGGCGGCGCAGCGTCAGCGCTGGCGAGCCGGCGCCGGGAGACGACCGCGACCCGACCGTCACCCATAGCCGTGACACTTCGGGACGCGTCGGGAGGTCACGCGTGTCATCGCACCGAGAGCGTGCCACCTGGCGAGCGCTGTGGTGTCGAGTGGAGCCGCCTGACGGTGTGACAACGGGCTTTTGAAGCATGGCAAAATGAACACGGCCCAGTCAAACAAACGCATCCGAAAAAGCAGTCTTCTGGCCCACCCGCCCGCGCCCCCCCCCCCCCCACACACAAAGGAGACAACCAGCCGGCCAACCGCCTCCCGCCTATCACCTTTGCCGACGCCCCACTTGGCCTGCAGCTGGTTCCACTTGGTCAGAATTGCGTCCCGTTCGTCTCCATAGTACGACACGTTCAGTATGGCGCTGTAGAGGGCTTGCGTCTGCTGCTGCTCAGCCGCCTGTTGTTGCTGTTGCTGCTGTTGTTGCTGCTGTTGCTGCTGCTGCGCTCCGAAGCCACCGAAGCCGCCGGATTGGCCGAGTCCCATAAAGCCTTTAACACAGGAGAACGCTGGCCGTTACAGCAATGTGCCAGCCGCGAACTTCCAAGCTCACAGACGTGGTTTAGATGTGGCACAATGATCAGGTGGCATCATGCTTCTCCTTTTGACAGCAGTGCATGCCGCTAAACACGCGCACTGCGGGACGTTCCTGCAGGGGAACTAAAAGGTACACAACACAGCTGGCTCTTAAATTCCAGGGCACAACTGTACAGTACGTACGTGCGTGCTGTACACGTACGTTTGGAAGCCACGAAACACACATGGGGATGCATAGAACTCACAATGCCACGAAATCCACCATCCCACAGACACATTCAAGCCTTCGTTCTCCACCATCAAGGCACATCAGACCACACACAGCAGAAATCGAAACTCTGCACTGTCTGTCCCGCAGGACGGTCCAATAGCCGGTGTACGCCGGAAGATATTACCAAACCTCCAGTGACGCGCTCCGCCAGTGGCTCACGAAATCCTGCGTCTCTCATACGACACCAACACACCTACGCAGGCCGCTGAGCGAAAAGACGATTAGTGGGCCTACGCGATACCCGCAATTTGTGGGCCTCCGCCACACCCGCAATTGGTGGGCCCCCGCAACACCCGCAATTGGTGGGCCTCCGCAACACCCGCAATTGGTGGGCCTCCGCAACACCCGCAACTGGTGGACCTCCACAACACCCGCAATTGGCGGGCCTCCGCAACACCCGCAATTGGTGGGCTTGCGCAACACCCGCAATTGGCGGGCCTCTGGAACACCCGCAATTAGTGGGCCTCCACAACACCCGCAATTAGTGGGCCTCCGCAACACCCTGCAATTGGCGGGCCTCTGGAACACCCGCAAATAGTGGGCCTCCGCAATACCCGCAATGAGTGGGTCTCCGCAACACCTGCAATTGGTGGGCTTCTGTAACACCCGCAATTAGTGGGCCTCCGCAACACCTGCAATTAGTGGGCTTCCGCAACACCCGCAATTGGTGGGCCTTTGGAACACCCGTTATTGGTGGGCCTCCACAACACCCGCAATTAGTGGGTCTTTGGAACACCCGTCATTGGTGGGCCTCCACAACACCCGCAATTAGTGGGCCTACGAACACAAGAAGGCGAAGCTTGGGACCATAGCCAGCCACGCGCCGTAACGTATCACGAGCACTACCAAAATATGCCACCGGCAAATCTACTCGGACATGACGGCCGCGGCAAACCTTAAAAGTGGCAAAGTTTCTGAGAAGTCCAAGGTCTGATTTCCTTGAACAAAACCTCTACTCGGTGGATTCTTAATAGACAAAACTGTTGTGGACCACTCTTCCACACCACACTGATGCTACCGGCAAAAGTTTTGCGATCAAAACTTAAAAAACCAATGTTCCATGGCTGAGAAGCATTTAGTTAACTTCAACAGGCATGTTGCCAGCAGAGTCATGTCACATGGTGGATTGTCCGTGGCACATTCGACATTTGGCGATAATACAGCACAGTAGTTTTGTCAGGAAAGGTAGCTCACATTATTAATATCAGTTCAGTTTTAGCGCAGAACGATTGAGCATCCCACTACGTCACCCAAGACTGAACGCATGTCACCAGGGGGAGAGTATCTCTCACTTGGACCGGTCGTCGTGGTGAATGGTTTGCCAAAGCTGAGTCCCGCAGTGGCGGCGGGTGCCGCGGCGCCGAAACTGAACCCCGCCGCCGCGGACGAGGCAGGCGTGCCGAAACTGAACCCTGTCGCCGCCGACGAGGCAGGCGCGCCGAAACTGAATCCTGGCGCAGCTGATGATGCAGGTGTACCGAAGCTGAAACCTGTGGAAGCTCCAGATGCCGGGGTGCCAAAGCTGAAACCAGTGCAGGCTGAAGATGCTGGCGCCCCAAAGCTGAAACCAGTGCCAACAGAAGATGCGGGTGCTCCAAAGCTGAGGGCAGTGCCAGCTGAAGATGCAGGTGCTCCGAAGCTGAAGCCTGTGGCAGCTGTTGATGCCGGTGTGCCAAAGCTGAGGCCGGCAGTTGGGACAGCTGCTGCTGGGGTGCCAAAGCCTCCAAATCCTGTACTGGCGGTTGGCTGGCCAAAAGTGACACCTGATGGACAGGAGTGCACAAAAGCTTACACAGGTTACAAATGTGATGAAAAAATACAGAGCTCACACAACTTAACACAATGGGCCATTGTACACTGTCTGTGTGCAATATCACTTATTGTATAAGTCATGACATGATTGCCTATAAAAATCAAAATATAACCTTCCATATTCCAGAAGTCAAACATTACACATACAAGGTGCATAGATGATGCAACACCTTAAAGTACATTAACAAACTGGCTTTAACAGCTACTCAGCCAGGAGAATTTAGCTCCCATCATCTGTCATCTCACTTTTTGTTGTTGTAGTTGTGCCAAACCCTGCAACTGAAGGGGTTGAAGCTGAGCCAAACAGAGACCCTGTAACAGGTTGGATGGTCAACAAATATCCAGCAACAAATTGCATATCTTTAGTGAAGTAATGCCTTCCCAGTAAATGTAAGAAAACCATAACAAACAAAAGATATAAAAATATGCAAACAGGGTTGGAGGGTTACAACAGCACTTCACCTGGCTGACTTGGCAAAACTAAAGCTCGCTGGATTTGGTCACGGCTCAGAGTGCATTTATGTATGTAAGAAGTTACTGACATAATATTAATACTTGCTATATATAAAACTATCATCTGATAAAGCTCTTACACAAAATGGGTGACATTCATTACCACATACAACTTTGAGGACTTGCTAATTCTATCATGCCAACTCTCAGTAAGTTCATTGTCACAAACAGGAGCTCACCAATTCACTTACCAGAGGGAGCTGATGAGGCTGCTCCAAAGCCTCCAAATCCACCAAAAGCCATGGTCGTGTTTCCTTACTTCAAAAGGGAGACCTGCAGACAATAGCATGGGCATTCAGCAGAGATGTGACTTGGCAAAAACATTGGTTTTAAAGGTCTCTTCTCAAATATCACCAAAGCTTTTAACAGCAGGGCATCTCTCAATGGGCCTAATATGATGGGCACATTCACAACTCACAACACAGGATGGGCAACTCAGTCTGATACAGCATGGGCACATGAATACGCAGCATATTCTATAGCCAAAAATATCCCCTAGTCTTGGTCATAGTCTGAATCACATTCAGCCCCACCCCCTCACAAGATCTCAACAAAAACTGATCCATTTCAATGCTTTGGTTGAAAAATTGCTGAAAAACCATCCATAACTGCTTAAAATTGTGGGGATATAAAAGCAAGCGGATCATTGTAACGGACATTGTGTTAATAACAGTACTTTATAACGGGGCAAGGAACACTATGTGCATAAACGGCTACCGTGTCCATAACAATACAGTGTTAAGCCATGCTTAGTAAAGGGGCAAAATCTATGCACCCTAGATTCTGGTAAACACGCACGCGCATCCACACCGTCCGCCGTAAACGGTTTAAAGGTAAATGACGGCAGCTATCAACGCTCACATCTAAAGTTATCTAACGAAAGACGCGGGTTGTAGACAAACTTAACGCAGAAAAGACAGCTTTGCCTGCTTACCTTGTGCTACACGCCACTATATTAAAATAATCCTGTAACTCCTCATTCCTGCAGGGAACGCATTCTTTCTGGTGCATTCATTTCAGCTGCGAATATGCCAGAACGTGGTAAGACTTACATCGCAGCTCATCAGAACCACCATCTTCCTCATTAGCATTTCTTAAAGAAGGCAATTTCTAATGTTTTTAGACGAAAATGAACACTGAAACGGAACTGTTTCGTTACTGCACTACGAAGCAGGGGCGAAGTTTCGCAAAACGAGTTGAGAGGTGGGGCTAAGACGTGAAAAATGAGACAACCTTGCTCAAAATGTCTCGACAAACAGTTTCTTCGTCAGATTTGGCCCAGTTTCTTCCCAAAGTTCGGTTGCTGCAGTCCACCCAACTGAATACGCACTTCAGCGCCCCTGGTAAGAAATACGAAGCCTTCACCGCAGCCCGGAAGGGCTTCTAAAGCCTCACAAAACGGGCAACAGGCATAACATATGATCCCGAGCAAAGGCATACTGTCGCAGAACGGGTTGGGGCGGGGGAGCAGTAAAAAAAAAAATAAAGCAACACACCCAAAAGTCCAACAAGCGAGGCTCTGCGCGGATTTGGCTACTTTCTTCTAAAAGTTGGGGGGCTGAAGGAAATCCCGACCCTGAGGCTGTTTTCAAGAGTTCTTGAACGGCAGGGATCATTTGATGACGAAAAGAAAATCATCCTGGCCAAAAGGGACCCCTGTGACACAATCTGGCACACCCGGGCAACGGTCTGATGTTGCAATTATAATCTAACATACGACTGTAAAAGCAACTGCTATTGTTGCAAGTTAATAGTGTGTAAATCAGCTCGACCTACCTGTTTCTGGAACTTACTCAGCGCCATTCAGTAAAAAAGAGAAATCTCGATGGACACAGATCGCCGACATACTCAGCAGCAGGAAAAACGACGGCGGTGCAAATGGTCGAAAACCAGAGTCTCTTTTCGCTTTGATTTGCAGGAAAGGGCGCGACGCTTGGAGTTCGGCTCGCCAGGATCTGACTGAACGCGAACTCCCCTGTTGTCAGCATCTAGCACTTTGTTGTCCGCGAAATTAGCGATTTATTAATCCAGCCTACAGACTTTTGGTCGCCGCATCTGTCGTGCATCAACTTACCAAAAACCACAAATATTTTAAAACCATGTGACGTCAGTATACATTGCTTCAAAAGCTGCTAGCAGGGGCAACGGAAATTCCGTCAAGCCAGGGGGAAACACTGTCAGCAATTTCTTTTCAGACATTGCTGGGTCCAGCCCCACTCCTTCCCAGTTACCGCGCTCCTGACCGTTAGCGCTAATCAGCATCAGCTCGGGTCAGATTCGGCATTCCCCAGCGAGCCCGGTTGGTCCGCATCTAGCGCGATCCCAGTAACTGTCGGCAGACTTTGTGGCAAATGTCCTCTAAATTTAAGTGAGCTGCCACTGCCAAGTACAAACGTCATATTTCAGAGAAGGCAATTCAGAATTGCGAAAATGCGTTCATTTCATCCCAGAGACGTACGTCGGTGAGATTCGTCCGTGACTGAACACCACTCTTTGAACGGCAACACAATTACAGTACATCGCACACCACATCAGTTTTGTTGGCACACATCGCAGGACAGTGGTCGTAAACGTAAAGACGTGGCCATCAATTTTCCGTTTCAGACCAGAGGATTCCTTTATGGAGGACGCAATACCAACAAACGTTCCCATCACCAATAAATACGGCCTAAGCACTATGACCGGGCTCACGCGTGCGCTAATCAACGCGTCATCTGAATTTATTCGGACTGGGTGACAGCATAGGAACCTACATAGTGCCGACGCGACGCCCCCGTTTATGCATATTACCTGCTCAGCCAATGATCTACCTCACAGCGCTGGGCGATCTGAGCCCGGAACAGTTATCTGGTACGGCATTGGACGACTTACACCCGGTTAAGACGACACTAATGCATCACAGTCCTAGACCTCTACTAATCGCAATCCAAATCCAATCCGTCCAAAGCAGCCTGTCAGAGATCACAAAGTTGGCAGAGACCGCCAGAAGGCGACGGTTCCAGTCTCCAGCAGCCCGAGGTCGAAACGAATGCAACATGAGTCACTCCTGATGCCGAGGGGCGGGTGCCCGCACCCCAGTACACATGTAGAAAACCACTGGAACATACCATTCACGTTTAGACAGTGTCGCGCGACACGAATAACTACACCAGTCAGCCCATGTCACGAGCCCGCGCGGCCCGTCGTCATGGAGGGAGCTGTTTCCACCGGCGCTCGCGCTCCTCAGAACGTATAGTGCGGGAAGGCCAGCAGGAAGGGCGCGTGAGCCAGCTCCTGCGTGCTGGGACAAGCGGCCGGAGCGTAGTCCGCGACGGGGGCCGGCTCTGGCTCCGGCTCTGGCTCGGCCACCGGGTCCGGCTCCGGCTCCGGCTCGGCCGCTTCATGCACGCGCTGGACGTGCGCCTTGAGCGTCTGTTGGCGCGTGAAGCCGCGCCGGCACAGGTGGCACTGGAAGGAGCGCGGCTTGTTGTTCATCACGCGCGCCGGGCTGGCCAGCACGCGGTCGTGCGCCTTCTTCATGTGCGCACGCAGCACGTTTGGCCGCCGGAAGGGTTTCATGCACATCTCGCACTGATGGCGCGCCGCGTCGCGCACCAGCGGCTTGTGGCGCTGCGCGTGCGCCTGGTACTTAGCCTGGTCGGCGAAAAACTTGAGACAGGTGGGACACTGCACTTTGGCAGGGTCGGCGTGCTGGCGCTCGTGCTGGCGTAGCAGCTCGCGTCGAGGCAGCACCTTAGGGCACAGCTGACACGCCTGGCCGGGCCCAGACGCGTGCTTTTCCATGTGCGCGTCCAGCTTGTCCTTGCGGCGGAAGCGGCGAGCACAGATGGCGCAGGCAAACGACTTCTCGTCGGCGTGCACCAGCATGTGCCGCTGCAACTTCTCCTTGATGGAGAACTGCAGACCGCACTTCTCGCAGATCATGGGCTTCTCGCCAGTATGCTGCAGCTTGTGCGTCTCTAGGTGGTCCAGCCGGTTGAAGCCGCGCTCGCACACATCACACGTGAACCGCTTCTCCTGCGCGTGCACTCGCTTGTGCATGGTGAAGTTGGAGTGCAAGCTGAAGCGCATGCCACAGATGTCGCACTGAAACGGCTGGTCGCCCGAGTGCACACGCTGGTGCTGCACCAGGTACTCGCGCCGGTTGAAGCCCTTCTGACATGTCTGGCACACGTACGGTCGGACGGCGGCGTGCGTCAGCTGGTGGCGGCGCAGCCGGTCCAGCCGAGGGAAGCTCTTGTCGCACTGCTCGCACGGATACCGCACGCCCGCGTGGCTCAGCAGGTGCTTGTTCAACACGCGCCGCGTGCTGAACGCCTTCTGACAGACGTCGCAGGCGTACGGCAGCGGGTCGTCCACCGTCTCGGCCGACTCCGCGTCTGCGGTCCGAGTCGACGATGACGACGTCGTAGTCGGTGGCGGCTGCGGCATCGGCGGCGGCGGCAGCGGCGGGGGCGGCTCCGGAGGCGCCGCAACCGACTCCGGAGCTATCACCTGCGGCGGCGGCGGCGGGGGCGGCGGGGCGGGCAGCGTCACGGCTCCCACCTCCAGCACCACGCCGTCGCCTGACAGCACAAAGCGGCCCTGCACGCTGTGCTCGTGCGCGCGGAACAGGTCCACCTGCCCGTCGCAGAGCTTGCAGACGCTGTGCTCTGGCTGGCCGGCGTCGTCGGCCAGTCGGAAGCGCAGCACCAGCTTGTCGCCGTCCGAGTTGACGCTGCCGTAGAGGACGCGCGCGCCGCGGCCGGCCGCCGCCAGCTCGGCCGGCGCGAACGCCAGGTCGAGCGCGTCGCGACCGGCGGCCGACACCTCCAGCTCGGCAGGCGCCGCGAACGGTCCGTCCAGCAGCAGGTGCGCGTCCAGCAGAGGATCAGGCCGCGCGCCCAGCTGGTCAGGCTCGTGGCGCGCCAGCGGCGGCAGCAGCTCGTCCACGCCCGGCCACAGGTCGCGGTACGGCAGCGGCTCGTAGTGCAGCTCCTGGCCGGCGTCGCCCATCGCTGCGACCGTCGGCCGCCTCCCAGTCTTGATGCTACAAATCCGTTGCTCAGCACTGCTCGCGTCAGGCCGTCAGCGCCGTTCGGCCCAGGCCCTCAGCACTGCTTGCGTCCGGCCGCCAGCGCCGCTCAGGTCAGGCCCTCAGCGCCGTGGCACTCGGCAGCCAGCTGTCGGCTACTAGGCCCAGCATGCTGATGTTCAGCCCAAGTGCAGAGCTTTGTAATCACAGAAATTACACTTTGCAGCCTTGCAACACTGGACTTCTATCTTATTCTTGTGGTGTTTGCACCAATCCTGGCACCACTTTCACCATACACAATCCTCAGCTCAGGACACTAAATATCAGCAATGTCATGTCCTCCTAGAGTATGGCAAAACTTGGTCTTCATACAGTGGTGCTTTTCCTCTTTCAACAGACAGCTGAGCTTTACACAATGACCCTGAGCTCTTGATCAGCAATGACTGGAGGTATTTTGGCTCTGGTCAGCAATGCTTTGACCACAACCAGATGTCAACCCAACTTCATTGCCACCTGGAATACCATGTTTGTAAATGTCAGCAAAATATACTAGCACATAATGTGCTACATTTAACTGTACCATTATTAAGTGGATGTCATGGAAAATGCATCATTGCCACAAATGACCACATTTTACACATGCAAGCATGAAAAACAGAGTAGAACAGTGCTTATGTTGCTTGCTCTGAACTGCATGATTTTTGTTGAGTATAAAAAGTCTGCTATAGACAGTAAGACCTAGAACCATTGTAAGAATTTGATCATGTTTATTCTGTGGCAGACATACAATCTCAACATCCCATAACACTGATCATATACTCAACCAAATTGTATACCTTGCACCTTATACCTTGCATTATTCATGTTGTTATAGACCACTTGGGCCTGTGGTGTATAAGTTCATCATGACATAATTGCATTATCAAAACTGCATGCCATACAGAATGCATGATTTTGTGAATTTCTTACAAACAAAAATGCCAGTGCTAGATGACAAGGAAATCACTGGATACATAAAAAGCAACAAAATAGCAAGTGCCAACACCTTAATACATTATCCTGTGCCTGATGTATTCTATTAAAATTGCTATCCAACATTTAATCTGGTGTTCAAAATATCCAACTGCCAACATGCCAGGCAAACAGGATGCTGGTGAAATGAAAACAAGCATCATGCAATGCAATCAGGAGGCAATATGACATAGTTCCTGCAATGTTGATACTATCGGCCCCAAGTACCGGAGGTGACGAGAGGACACCAAGGGAAGCTCAGAAAACCTCGAGCTAGGACTCTCATCTGTCGTAACTCATTCAGCATGCAGGTTGTCAACGACTGGAATGCTCTTCCACACCCCGTCCTGTCGTCGACCTCATTTGAACAGTTCAAGTCTAGGCTTGTCATGTACAATGTCCCACACTGAATCTTCCCATAATTTGAGACTGTTTGGTTACCGGACCGGGAACCTGACGAGACCGGACCTACAGGCCTAGTGGCCTTTTACAGTTCCCGATCACCATAAGGTAAGGTAAGCATTGAGAGAAAAAGGTCATGTCACACTCCTAACCATGAAAAAGCACTGCTAAAAACATATAATACGTATGTTCGCATGTCCACCGCAAGTACTGGTCGATATCTTTGTTTAACCAGGCTTAAGGCTCGTCTTACTTTTAACAACGTCACTGACATACTAGTTCAGAGATTCCGCCGCTGGCGACGGTGTAGGTAATGTATACCCCGACCCTGGGGACAGTAACAACCCACCGTCCGTCTCACACACCCAGCAAAAGAAGCTGCGAATACACTCGCGCAGAATCACCGCCGCCCCACTCCATGCAACCCCAACGGTGCAATGGCCTGGTGATGACAAGGCCGGTGATACAATATAGAATTTTGTCCATTTCGACAAGGACGCATGAAAAAAGTCCACGATTTTCAGTAGAATAGTCGCTGATAGATGTACGTCATTTGACTTAAATAGTGAGTAACAGGTAGGGGCCAGTACTTAAGATGCATGTCAAGTACATGCACACAACTTTCGAGTCCAGGAATTTTGCGTGAGTTGATCAAAGCAGAGGTAATTAGAGGCTGTAGTACCGTTACTTCTACTGCAGTAAAATGCGAGTAATACCATTATTCTCAAATCCGTCCCATTTAACTATGCTTCCCCTGTCAATTTGTACAGCACTCTCATTCATCTCAGTGACATCGGTCACAGATATAGATGCATCGAGGTGGTATCTAGCACTTCTGATTGGTGATCTGATCATAGACTTATATTTGCTTTAAAGGTGACTTGAATGTGGCATTAATGCAACATATGACGGTGTGCTACGTTGAAGCTACGTTTGCACTCGCCACTTCCGCGAAGTACAATGTCGGTGCCATTGTATTCCGGGGGACTTCGAATGAGGTCATCAAAATGGATAGAACGTTTGAGGCTTGCGTGTTTGGTGTCAATGATTCTACCTTAATCTACCTGGTACACTGGCCTTGGTGCAAGAGATAGCATGAACCAGCCTTGACGAACGTGGCGCAGATCCACGCGTTATGCCATGTGACGGCCGTATCGTGTAAACCGCGGGCCGTAACCGCGCGGCGTGCCACTTGCGACGGGAACGGTGACACGTGTGGGCCGTCTCGCAGGTGGGCTGGAGAACCGGCATTTTATGAGATCTGTTGGTACCGGTGTGGGCTATTTTCAGGAGGGCAGGGATTCCGTATAGCACCGTCTTTGTTCTGAGGGCCGCTGCGAAAGGGGATCGGAGGGGGCGTCTCTGAAATAACTTCTAAAAGGTTTTGAGCATGGTTTTGAAATGTTACGTATCCCAGTCAACAAATTTGTACACATGGTGTCAAAATCTGAAGGTTCTGACCTCGATTGTGCATTGCCGCCGTCCATTTTTAGGTTATCTAGGGTTTTAGGTTTCAGGTTTTTAGGTTATAAGGTTATGCTGGTGACATCCAAAAGTTTGCTTTGCTCCCTTTCTTCATATCGATATTATTCTAGAGCGGATTGCTATTGCACTGGTTTCTTTTGTCAAGCAGGTTAGACCACTTCACACAAGGATGATTTAAAACTGCTCTTTTTTGTTTGGCCCTGGCTTGCATAGTTTTAAGGATCATAATTGGTTTAAGGTGAAAAACTTCTTAGTGCCCAGACTTTAAAAACTACCCATGATAAAACTGTCAGTAAAGTAGCAACATGATGTATGAGATAATGGTGACACCAGCAGATGTACATGTCTGAAATAGGAGGTAACCCATTAGGACACAATTTTTAGAATTTTTGGGTACATTCTAGATGTAAATCCCAGTGCCCACAGCTGTGTGCCAGTTGGCACCAATTTCAGCACAATGGCTTGTTGAGAGGAGTTTTCAAAAATGTATTTTGCAAAATGCATGATAAATTCAGCTCAGTCTGGCCTAGTCCAAGTATTGCATAGACAAGAATGAGGCCCAGTACAGATGTGATATACCTAGGCATCACAGTGTTTTTTTTCTGCTGGGCATTTGGCAAGGGTCAAGTACCATTTTTGCAGCACCTAGATCCTGTTTTAAACAATTTTTGATGGGTGCAGATGACTGTTCTCAGGGAAAAGTAATTAGATGATCATCATTACCTACTCCGCTGAGCTTGGAAAAGGTTGTTAGTCAATATTTTTGCTGCTAACCTGGCTTAAATAGTCATTGATATGGATGTTAATTTGTGATGGACTTAATAGACTTCATTGGACTCCAATAGCTAGTTTCATAAACCTCATTAGACTTCAAAAGATAGTTTCATAGACTGCAATTGATAGTTCGATATAGTTTAGTAGATATACATTTATTTGCAAATACATCAGCAACATTTAAATTCCAGGTCATGCCAGGCTTTTCTAAATGTGCAGAGTAGTGTGTATGATGAATCACAGTGTGCTAACACCATCACTGGAAATAAAGGGTCTGATCATGCCCATGCCAAGATGGTATGGTGCATGGAGTGACCTCAAACTCATTGAAAAGTGAATGTTAACACTTTTCAATGAATAAATTCCTTTGCTTGTTTGCTAGACATATTTAGCTACTGAGACAACTGTTATGTGTCTGGCATCATTTGACCTTGCCAGAGAAGTCAGACATAATTGATAACAAGTGGTCTGTTAAAAGTAGATCACACAACTTGTGTTTCAAGGTATTGTAATAGTCATTGCATTTGATATACAGTTGTACAGTTTCAATGGATCTTCCTCAATTTGTTCCTTCATGTTCATGCCCCTCTTTGTACTTAAATGAATGAGCTGAAATCAATAAAACTCCCCAGTGTTAGCCATGACTGTTAAAAGCACTTAGGTAGTGCAAAGTCAGGTGATTGACTGGGCTTGGGGGAGGGGGCTAGCCTTCCCCACACCTTCCTAATGTTTCATTTCAGTTTTCAGAATGGCAGATTTCCTGATCAGTGGTGGTGCGGGGTATGTTCCTGATGATGGACTCACTGGGGCACAGCTGTTTGGCAATGGTGATGGCCTCACCTATAAGTAAGTAATATATACACAATAAGTGATCTAGGCAATATAAATGTTTGTGTTGCTGCTGCATTTTACATTCATGCAGAAAATGTGATAGATGCTCCATGCACATATGTGCTGCATTAATGTTCCATCAATGTCCATTAGATTCTTATAGGGGCAAGGGAAATGCTTTCAAAATTCCAGCATTAGTTGAAATACTAGGCATATTTGGGAGTCATTTTTGCAACCTGAGGTATCAGGAACAGGTTTAGTGTATTGTGCAGGCTGATTCCAATGAATGCCCATGGTCCTAGAGGTAAGGAGTATATCCACTCTGCCCTGGCAAGAGGTGTGGTAGTGACTGCTTGGCACCTATACAGTGCTCTAATGGGACGGTCTTCGAATTTGGTTCCGCCGGCGCTATATCTCTGTTAGAAAGCTGGCCCATTTTGACATATTAACCATTTGACTCATTCAATTTGAAGCTTAGCTTTGGTAAATGCTTGACAGTGTTCGTTTTATGAAATCTTACTGATGGCACACATACATGTTTCAGTGACTTTATACTGCTGCCAGGCTTCATCGACTTCCAGGCTGATGAGGTGGTAAGTATTGCTGATCTGGTACCAGATTGCCATCTCCTACTAACACAAACACTTTGGAAGTTATCAGTCCTAATGATGGCCTTCCCCAAGCTACACAAACGCTGTTTGGAAGTTACTGGCACGCGCCATAGTCTTCTCCAAGCTACACACACGCTGTTTGGAAGTTACCGGCACGCATTATGGCCTTCTCCAAGCTGCAAAGCCACTGTTGCTATGGCCTTCGTCAGGCTACATAAACGCTTTTTGGAAGTTTCTGGTACGCACTATGACCGTTTTGAAGCCACACCAACGATGTTCGCAAGTTACTAATCCATATTATTGTCATGTCTGAGTTACATAAACACTGTTTGGAAGTTACCGGTCCGCCCTGTGATTAGTCAGTCGGATCCACATCATGTGTCGGAAGGGATCATTCCAACTTACGGGAAGCCTTATGCATCTGGCGACAACTTACGAATAGTGACCTGCTGATAGTGACATGATCACTCTTACTTTACCCGTGAGCGAGCGAGCTAATGTCTTCTGCAAATCGACTTGTCTTTCGGCGTTTACTTAAAGGCTACTGGCGATGTGCAGCCCTACAACCATACGTAATTTGGTAGATTGTAAGCGGCCGGCAAGTCCGGAGCGGGCCGGTGTCAAATGACGCCCGCTCTCTTTGGTCATCGTCGTTGTAGCCTTTCTGCACTGTGGGCTTCCTCAGCTGCCAGGTGCCGAGACGCGTGCGGGCGCTGGCGGCGTGCTGCGTTGTCACGGGTGCTCGGGTGGTCGATGCCGCCCGGGCGAAGGCCAGAGGCTAAGTCGCCTGAGCCGGGTCGGAGCGCGGGATTGCGGGCGCGGCTCTGATTGGTAACATGCCTGCGTGTTCGCGGTCAATCACGGCTACGGATGAATCGATAAGCAGTATTGGTGCCCGCATGTGCCTTCAACCGACTGTCTGGTCCGTCCAGCCGGCCGGATGAACCCGGTTGTCAGGCCCAGGTCTGTCTAGGCCACCCAGAAACAGCCAGTTCACTCATTTCTGGCTTATTGGGTGAGGAAGGACTTGTTCATGATGTGGCCTCGACCCATACTGACCACCTCCGGAACTAAGAACCTGTTACTTGATGTGGAATATGCGTTTTGTTTCCCGCAACGTCACCGTCTTGTGGTTTACGTCCGTGGTCGCGCATAGGGTGAAGCGTTCTTACGCATCAGCGTCGGATGCATTAAGAGCGGTGCTGCTGGTGTTTCGGTAGGCGACATTGCGACATTTATGATCGCCAGATTGCAGGAATTTTTGTTCGGTCTTGGATGCGCTCGTAGGTCTGAAGGCCTTGCTATCAGATAATCTACAAGGCCGGCGGTGAACGGGACCGTGTTACCGTAAGTTTAAAAACCCCCTGGTGCTAGACAGTCAGCACAGTCGGAAGCTCGAAGAGTTGGAATGTTAAGCCGCCGTATCGGACAGTCCGCTGGCGCCACGTGCCGCCTCCCGCCGGCCGCGTGTTGTGTCCTGTCGACACCCGCCGGCCGCGTGTTGTGTCCTGTCGACACCCGCCGGCCGCGTGTTGTGTCCTGTCGACACCCGCCGGCCGCGTGTTGTGTCCTGTCGACACCCGCCGGCCGCGTGTATCGCCCCTGTCGACACCCGCCGGCCACGTGTATCGCCCTGTCGACACCCGCCGGCCACGTGTTACTTGCCAGCGGACACCGACGGACGCGGGCCTGCTGCCAGCGCGTCGCATTTCGTTCGGGAATCTGTCAGAGTGGACTGTTGGCGCTCCGCCGCTGGGCCGGCAGCCTGACGTGTTCGGCTTCCTGGCAGGAGCACCTTCGTAGCCGCCGCGTCGGTGCTAGTGTTTAACACTGCGGCTCCGGTGGGGTGTGGGGGAGGACTGCGACTTATTTCGTGGCCATTCTTTCGCCGAGGGCGTGATTGTTGGAACGGTTCTGGCAGTGACTGATGGGAGCCCCAAGAGCGGTCGATGCCTCCGAACGTTCGCGCGCGATTACCGTCAGCAGCTTATTTAAAGCCGAAGTCGGCGCCGAGCGGTGGACGTAAATAACTTCGCCGTCCTGTCCTTGAGCTTGTCTTTATGCCGGACTTCCCCGTGCTGCAAGGGCATCTCGCTTGCCAGCTCACACCTCCTTTGTATGCCGCGTAACAAGGGTTTTGAACCAGGTCACTTCCCCCTCCTCCCCCCCCCCCCGTGTGAACAACGATCCTCACGTCATCCCAGCGTCGCACCTTCCAGCGTGGCGGCACGCGCCGTGTGTCTCGTGGTGGCGGTGAGCCCCGCCGTGAGCGCCGCTGACGAGACGGCTCGGCCGACCTGGTGCGTCGCGCCAGACCCTGCGCACTTGGCCCCGGCCCCGCCCTGGACGCGCCGTGGCCGGGCCGGTCGCCGCGCGGCGAGACCGTCAGGCGATGCCGCCGGGCGCTGGCCGTTAGCCGGTGACGCTGGGACGGGGATATCGGCTCCCGGAGTCCGGCGCGGGTGGCACCGCGTGGAGTACGGAGGGTGGGGACGCGGACGGACGCCTGGCCAGCTGCAGGCGAGCTGAACACTGACGTCGGGATGTCGAGGGTGCGGGGCTGTCCGGGGTGCAGCGATGCGCCCCGCACTCACGTCCCGTGAGTGCGAGGCGGTCCAGAGCGCAGCAAGACGCGGGTGTGAAGCCGCCTGCGTCACCGGAACAGAAGCTGCCGGCCGGTGGGGAATCTCCGATGACGGCGCAGTCTAGCCCCTGGCGACGCGACCCGCCCGCCGGCTACGTGTCGAGTGACGGCGGCGCGCTGCTGCCAACTGGGACAGCTGCGCCCCCGCCGACTGGCCGGCGACCAGGTCTGGGTCACAGTTGGCCGAGTGCGGCGTGGCCCGGCGCCCGGCCGCGATCCGGCGGCGGCGCGCTGCCAGACAACCGCGGGCGATGTCGCAATCGCGCGATTTTCAGCCACGTGGGTTGGCGGCTGGAGTTGTGCGCGGTTCGTTTGTGGCTCGCACTGGGGGTAGCTGAACTGTTAGTGGAATTCCGATAGGTTCATTGATTATTTACGGAGCGCAACTGTTCGGGTTCTTTATTTGGTTCTCTAAATCGAGCCGCGTTGTTTGGCTTACGGATGTCTGGTTGGTGTTGAATATCTTTAATAGTGAATGGGAAAACTCTGTCGTGTGACCTTTAAAAGCTCAAGAACCGTCTTTGGTACACCCCGAGTTCTCATGTTCTGAATCAGCGTAGCGAGGGGAAGGTTTCTGTCACACTTTGGTGCGGGTCGCACCACAGTGCCTGGTACGGCGCGCGGAAATCTGTCCCATTTGGGTTGCATTAGTTGACGTGATTGACAGCGAAGGACATCGGCTCTACATCTTCCTTTGGATGTGGCATATATGCCCGATTTTGTGGCGTTCAAAGTAAAAGCAATCAGACGATCGAGTGCCACCAATGATATTGTGGAGAGGTGCGAATCGGTTTTTGAATCGGTGTCGGTGAATCGGTGATTTTTTTGAATCGGTGAAATTTTCTGCAAAATAACCCATTTCCAGGCCAAAACGGTCTGCTCCTTGCCTTTACACCTGATCGCAGCAGCAAACAATATTGACTGCCAGATGCTAATTGGTTGTGAATTTACCTGTTGCGAGGATACGAGTACAGTGAAGACCAGAAAATAGCGACCAGTGAAACCCACAAACGTAAATTGAGAGGTGGTCTCAACAAACGTATTCGGTTGAATGTTGATTCGTGGCATTTAGTAACCACTTAATAACGCGTTTTGATAACAAGGCTTTGCCCAAACTGTCTGGAATGCGTACGGGGCTGGCAAGAGCGTCACGTGGCTCGAGGGCAGCGCTGTTGATAACGTGTCCAATGAGTGGAGCAGGCGGGGCGTCATCAGCCACGAGGACACGGTCGGCAGGATGGACAACCTCTGCTCGCACTGTCAAGCCAAGGCATGTCCATTTACTGTCAAGCCGAGGCATGTCCTTGCACTGTCAAGCCGAGGCATGTCCTTGCATTGTCAAGCCGAGGCATGTCCTTGCACTGTCAAGCCGAGGCATGTCCTTGCACTGTCAAGCCAAGGCATGTCCTTGCACTGTCAAGCCAAGGCATGTCCTTGCACTGTCAAGCCAAGGCATGTCCTTGCACTGTCAAGCCAAGGCATGTCCTTGCACTGTCAAGCCAAGGCATGTCCTTGCACTGTCAAGCCAAGGCATGTCCTTGCACTGTCAAGCCAAGGCATGTCCTTGCATTGTCAAGCCGAGGCATGTCCTTGCACTGTCAAGCCGAGGCATGTCCTTGCACTGTCAAGCCAAGGCATGTCCTTGCACTGTCAAGCCAAGGCATGTCCTTGCACTGTCAAGCCAAGGCATGTCCTCTTACTGTCAAGCCGAGGCATGTCCTCTTACTGCCAAGCCAAGGCATGTCCTCTTACTGTCAAGCCGAGGCATGTCCTTGCACTGTCAAGCCGAGGCATGTCCTTGCACTGTCAAGCCGAGGCATGTCCTTGCACTGTCAAGCCGAGGCATGTCCTTGCACTGTCAAGCCAAGGCATGTCCTTGCACTGTCAAGCCAAGGCATGTCCTTGCACTGTCAAGCCAAGGCATGTCCTTGCACTGTCAAGCCAAGGCATGTCCTTGCACTGTCAAGCCAAGGCATGTCCTTGCACTGTCAAGCCAAGGCATGTCCTTGCACTGTCAAGCCAAGGCATGTCCATTTACTGTCAAGCCGAGGCATGTCCTTGCACTGTCAAGCCAAGGAAGGACCAGATGGAACCCGCTGCAATAGTGGCAGCAGGAGGCGGCAAACTCTGGGACGGCCATCAGAGGTTCTGAGCAAGGCGCGGCCTGGCTCGTCGCTCGTTTTCTAAGCTGCCGAAATATATCCACCTGTTCGGTTCCAGATCGGTAGGAAAGCTTTGATCTCACAATAACGACCTCACAATAACAGGTCATGTCGTAAATGAGACAGGTCTCGCCTGTATGATTCTCACACTGAGGAAAAGGGAAATTATGTGAGCACTAGCGTATTTCTCGCTTCCTTGTTTTTTTTTTTATTAGCTGGGTTGTTGGGTCCGGACCAATGGGTGGTCTGTCAGGTCATGGAATTACTATCGTGTCTGAAATATCAATCGTAGTGCGCGATATATAGTCTTACCGGTAGCTACCATGCTGAACAATATAGGGTAACGGAGAAAGGACGGATACATTGATACGACCGATGCATACAACTTCGTCTACGTTGTCTAACAGCGTTTCTTTTCATTTTGTGATAGTTTGTGAAGTCAGAAGTCAACCCAGATCATTGGGGTTACGTAAGCTTTGTACCATTATGCATCGTAGATGTTCGTGCTAGGCTATCAGATATCAATTGCTTGCCACTTCTTCACTCAGGAATAATTTGATTAAACACATTTGACATCAGACGGGTCAAACTTACGTATGAGGCAATTCGTCCCATCTTTGCAATATTTGGTAATAATGAGAAAGTCTGAACCAGTGTGAAAAATCATGAAAATTGTGCACAGGATAAAAACTATGTGAAGAACATATGTCAGGTCAAACAAGGTCATAAAATTTTACAATATATTTAACAACATTCATAGTGCATATGTTAAGTAATTAAACAGTCTGGAACAAGCGTACCCAAGCTAAATCACATATATTACAACTGTTTCATGGGTTCCGACAAGGCAGCTTAGATGCTGCATGCAGTATCCGATAGTTTAAAGGTCATTACCCTGTTTGACCTCTGGAAGGTCAGTGTCTCTTGCATGCAAGTGCTCACAAGTAGTGAGTTAAAAATTGATCAGATACCGCACACTGTACCAATCATAGTCCAAATCATGCCCTAGGTGCCTACTTGTTTTACATTTATCTGACCCAGGGTGACCTCGACCCAATAATTTCATACGATTGATTGTACTATGCTCGTATAATATTGAATGATGGACCTAAAACCCATTCTTGCAAGTGCAGTTGCCAACAGTCCCATCTAAGAGAACAACCGGACATATTTATCTCACCCTGAACTCTGATAGCTTGACCTCGGGTAACTTGGCCCCTTATCTTCAGGCACAATAACGCCTTACATGTCTGGCGTGGCGTCAATCTAGATGGCTTTTGTAGATCAAGCAAGTGGAGTGGACCGAATGTCCGTAAGTGAATGCATTGTCGTTCTGGCGTAGAACCCGGCTGATGACCTTCACAGAGGGTCATAGGTCACGACCTGTTAAAAGAAAACCCTAAAATCGGGTGGGTCGAGTAAAAAAAATCTCACAAAATGGGGCTCGAAAAATTCAACCTAAATTAACATACATGCATTTCACATTTGCATACATTTAACGGTCAAAAAAGTTACGCAGTCCAAACGTCAGAGGTCTTTTGTCAGGTCGCCTCCCTCTCCCCCCCCCCCCCCATCGTCGGGCGTGTGTTACGTCTGCCTCAGAGCGTCCGGAGGCGCCTGATCACAAATTTATTATCCGGACTGATCGAGGCCAACCGGAGAGTGTAGTGTGCATTCAGATTGAGCGGCAATTACGTTAGAGCGCGCCTACTGTTAAATGCAAGTACAGCTACGAGTACTCGCAACACTTTTGGGATCAGCGTGCACTATGAAACTAAAGAAAGCACTCAGTCACTGACTAGATTACTCTACCGCCGGGTGATCACTGGGAACTCCAGTGAGTAAGTGAATGAGATGATGAAGCAACAAAAGATTAATCCGCCGATTCTAGTCTGTTATGTTATCCTTGCGTGACTGAAGCACTCGGATTGCCCGTTGCCCTCCGCGTGCCCGGCTCCCGTCCGTCCGCAGTCCTGTCTTGACTGGCTCGCACCCTGCTCCTGTCTGTTCGCCGACCTGTTGGTCCTGCCTGCATCCGGCTCCCATCCTTGTGCAGTCTTGTCTGGCCGGCTCGCACTCGGCTCCCGTCCGTCTCACACCAGGCTCCCTTTAGTTTGCTGCCCAGCTCGTATCCGGTTCCCGTCCGTCTGCAGCCCTGCCTACCCGGCTCCCACCCGGCTCCCGAGTTTGCTGTCCAGTTGATCCGGCTCCCGTTTTTCTGCAGCCCTGCCTGCCCGGCTCCACCCGGCTCCCGAGTTTACTGTCCAGTTGGTCCGGCTCCCGTACGTCTGCAGCCCTGCCTGCCCGGCTCCCACCCGGCTCCCGAGTTTGCTGTATAGTTGGTCCGGCTCCCGTCCTTCTGCAGCCCTGCCTGCCCGGCTCCACCCGGCTCCCGAGTTTGCTGTCCAGTAGGTGCGGTTCCCGTCCGTCCGCAGTCCTGCCTGCCCGGCTCCACACGGCTCCCGAGTTTGCTGTCCAGCAGGTCCGGTTCCCGTCCGTCCGCAGTCCTGCCTGCCCGGCTCCACCCGGCTCCCGAGTTTGCTGTCCAGTTGGTCTGGTTCAGGTCCGTCCGCAGTCCTGCCTGCCCGGCTCCCAACCGGCTCCCATTAGTTTGCTGTCCTGTTGGCCCAGCTCGTGCCTGTCTCCCGTCCGTCCGCAGTCCTGCCTGCCCGGCTCGCACCCGGCTTCCGTCTGTTCGCAGTCCCTCCTGACCCGGTCCGCGAGCGAGCCAGCGTGTGGGGCCGGCCTGGGCGGCGGGTGGCAACGCTGCAGCGGCACCGCCTCCCTGCCACAGCTGGCCCCGGCCGGGCCACCCCAGGTGCCGGCCCAGAGCCCAGCCAGTGCCGAGTGGCCCCCGTGTGAGCCCGAGCCGGTCAGTTCCGACACGCCGCCAGGCCGGTGACGACAGGCCGCAGCCATCTCGGGTTGTTTGTGGGTATACAGTGGGGCTGAGGTCTTCCGGCCCCAAGTAACTGATCGCACCGCTGCACGTGTGTTGGACAGCAGTCTGTGCAGGCTGGTTTGCAAGGCGCGATAAAGTTCTGGGAAGAGGGAAATGTTGGGAGAAGGTGTACGGTACCGGAACGCCTGGATCCCCTCGCCTGCAGTTGGTCGCGCTGCTGTTGCATGTTGAACTTTGGGCTAGGTACGACGCCGCTGGTTCATTGTCGGAGAATGAGACTAGTGTCTAGTTATTCACTGTTTTCGAACAACATGTTAAGCGTGTTTTTTTCATGTTGGGTTTTCGTGGACGTTTCTGACGCCAATGAACTATCAACGTGAAAAGAGGAAATGATGAACATGCTTCTCTTTTTGACTACCTAAGGATAAAATGAGGATAACGGGCACATTTGTTATTTATTTTAATAGCAGTGCGCAAATGACAGTTCGTTTTGCGCGTCCTGCTGGTGGTTTAAGTTTTTCGTGTTTTGTTGTTGTTTTTTTTTTTGCTCTCTCATCGTGGGCAACGTTGTAGTTGTGTGAATTATGGCGTGGTTGTGTCCTAGCTTTGTTGCTTTAAAACCAATCTTTCTAGTATGCCTGGCGACGCACGGATAGTGCATTAAGGTATACTGCAAAGGGATAATATGAGCTACCTGCATCTGGTTTTATAACCGAAAAGCGACTCGTGGAAAATCGGACTTCTGTCTGGAATAAAATCCCAGAATGGTTCTTTTTAATAGTTGGACACGTTCCAACGAAATTACTGGCCGTTGTTGGCCAACGCCAATGATTTGCTAGGGCAATGCAGCTAATACAATCTAAAGGAATACCACACCGCCGACGTTCAACTACAAAGAAACCCAGGGCAAACGGTAACATGCAAGCTGCAAAATATACATATCAGTCCCAGGTATCTTCATTTTAGGTGGCATGGTTTTATCATATAATTTTTGTACCATATGCTATATTATCATATGACATATATCATGTAGTGTATCATATCATATCATGTACATATATCATGTACCATCATATACATATATCATATACATATATCACGTAATGTATGTCCGTCCCGGTGGCTCGGTTGGTTAGAGCGCCTGCATTCCGACCCACCCATCCGTGGCGGGATGGGTTCAAGTCGCTTTAGGGCGCTCGCTATTTGCCCTTGGCAGGTATGGCCTGCGGCCGGTGGCAGCGGTCGCGCTAAAGGTCAGTTGACGTCAGAGGGCAGGACGGACCGTGCCGAGCATTGCGGCACGTTAAGCTTTCGCCACTAAATTCTGCCGTTGCCTGGAACTGCGCGATCGGATGGTGGGGGTCAGGGCTCACGCAACAAGCACTGCTTAGCGTGAGCGCTGATCCCAGAAATCCATCCATTCAAAGGATTCGGACCAAATTAAAAAAAAATATCAGTTACTATATTATGTGTTGTTTTCCCTCTGCGTCCATCCGACGTGTCTCGGCCTGACTGGGGTAACCTGGCCGCGTCTGATCTCCCGTCTTCGTTGGCCCGTAGTGTCGTGGCTTTCTGATCGTGGTGACTCGACTTATCGTGACCTTTCGCCCGTTTTCACCCGACCTACCATTACCCCGCCCGCGGTGACCCCGGCCCGTCTCCGCCGCAGGACCTGGCCTCGGCGCTGACCCGCAAGATCACGCTGAAGTCGCCGCTGGTCTCGTCGCCCATGGACACGGTCACAGAGTCGGAGATGGCCATCTCTATCGCGGTGAGTGAGCCCCGCCGGCCGGCGGCCCCCGGTCCGGTCCGAGCCGACCCAGCCTGACCAGCTGCCGATGTCGGCGCCGTCCGCCAGGCCCCGCCGGCTGGTCGCCGCCGGCGGTGCTCGCGGCCGCTCCGTGTCTCGTCTCGGCGCTCGCTCGTGGGGTGCTCGGCGCCGCCCGCCGGACCCCCGCCGGCTGCTCGCCGTCGATGGTGTTGGAGGCCGCACCGTGTCTTGTCTCAGTGTTCGCTCGTGCGGTGCTCGGTGCCAAGCGCGAGCCGTGTTGCCGCTGCGGTGGGTGCGTCGGCGGCCAGTCGGGCCCGGTGACGCGGCACCCTGTTGACGGTTGGCGGCTCCGCTCGCAGCTGTGCGGCGGCATCGGCATCATCCACAACAACTGCTCGCCAGAGTTCCAGGCCAACGAGGCGCTCAAGGTCAAAAAGTACAAACACGGCTTCATACGCGACCCGTTCGTGCTGTCACCGAATCATAAGGTGAGGCCGGGCGCGGCCGCTGACGGCCGGTACCGGCGGGGAGTAACCTGAGGTCGTGGTGGTGCAGGCGGCTGCCACTCTGCCGGCGTGGGGGCGTGGTGGAGGACGAGGTACACAGTGGGGTGGACTGACGAGAACTGTCACAGAACGGTTGAGGTTGGATGGGATGTAGCGCGTTTGATTCAGTGGACTGCATTGTTCTGGATGATGAGCCAGGTAATCGACGTGGTGCGGGAGGAGATGTTTTACACGGCGGAGCTCAAAACGAAAGGCATTATTTTACCATGCCAGATGTGTTCGCATCATCCCGTTCTACTGGCGACGTCTCACCAAGTCACGGAAACGTGACGAATGCAGCACTACTTTCGTCACACTATTCAGTTACGTGACCCGACTCGTGGTCGTTCGAAAACCAGTACCACGGTTGATTTGACGAAACTCCTCTGTGTGCCTTCACTGCTCTGGTCTGGTGTGCTCTGACCACTGGAACCCGACCCCCTGAGGCCGCTGGGTTACGCGGAGCCCCCTATTAGGGGCGTTGCCGGGCCTTCTTCGCTGGGACCGGGCCGCGATGTTTTCGCAGCAGGCGCCGACTGTTTGTTTATACCCGACCGTCCGCAGCCGGCTCTAAGCGAAAATCGCGGAAACCCTGCCTCGTGCAGTGACCGTGGGCCGCGTGGCAGACAGGGTCGACGCCCGCGGTAGACGGCTACATCGTTCGTTGCATGCTGAAGATACGGGCTGCCCAGATAGGTGGTGTGTAGCTGGTGTTACGACAGCTGTCTTCTAGTCCGGTTTCATGTGTGGTTTTCTAGTGTGGTCTGAAAGTAGGGTACTTGTCTCAAAAAAATATGGAGCGAGTTCGTGAGCGGAGTTCAGAATGCATCAAGTCCTATATTGCACCTAGATTACCCGAGGCATGAAATAGGCAGTTTTGACAACTGAGAATGTAAGAAGCTGGTCGGAGCTGGAAACAGCACGATGTCACGTTAAGTATGGTGACACCCGTAAGTCTGCTATCCGCCAGCCAATCCTGAAGTGACCCGACTGGTCTGGCTCATGCCTGGTGGGGATTCAAAATCACGAAAGCATTCAGTTGTGGCTTACTGTGAGAAAAGCATTCAGTTGTAAAGACATAGTTTGATCTTTAGGCGGATAAACCAGAATTAATTGTGGAAGAGATTTGTTTTCTGGTGGCGGTAAGCCAGGAAGACTGCTGGGAATTTCTCGAAAATGTTCATTTGTAATGGTGTTTGCGGATCGCTGAGAAATTTGCGAAAACGCCATGTAGACCGAGTGGGATGCGCCTCCATCGAAAACATGGCCCACCCGCCCCTTTAACTTGAAAAAACGGTGTTTCTGGGCTGTTTTCACTCCGTGATAATTATTCTACCCTGGAAGACGCTTGTCATCTGATATGAAAGTATCTCGGTTCGCATCAAAAGTCCATAGCGTGCATAGCCGGTTGTCGACGCATACCCAACCTACGGTGTTGTGCACCTGATGCTGACATAGCGGTGCCAGCGTCCTGCGCATTACTGTTATCCTGTGTGGCGTAAAGCCATGAGTGTCGTGCAGGTATCGGCGCCTGGTGCTGTCCCGCGCGCCGCACGCCCCGCTCGGTCACCGCGCCCCTGCCGCGCCGCAGGTGAAGGATGTGTTCGAGATCAAGCGGACGCGCGGCTTCGGCGGCTTCCCGGTGACGGAGAACGGCCGGCTGGGTGGCCGGCTGCTGGGCATCGTCACCTCGCGCGACATGGACTTCCTGGAGCCCTCCTCCGACATGACTATCGCCCAGGTACCCAGCGGTCGGCGTCGTGACCGTCGCACGGGTAAAGGGCGCCCGAACGGGGCGTCGGTGCTGCAGACGTGGTGTGCTGGGTGTCTGTGCGGATGGCGTCCGGTGTTAGCACGCACGGCGTGTGGTGTTCAGCTGAAAGGAGGGTGACTCGTTTGTGTGTCCCTTGTAGACCTATCTGACTACACTCAAGGACTGACCATGCTCGCCTCGTGGCCGGTTCACTCTCTTATTATTCTCAGCTTTCCGTTGGTTGACTGCGTGGTAAAGGGTGTCATTGCGACGGCTTTTGCGATGCCCACGTGCGAGCGATTAATAAATCGAATCAGTGGCGCATTCGCATTATTATCATGCAGCAGCCAACATATTTCGTTCTGGCAACGACGATGTGGGCGACGCAGGTATGTGACGTCACGGGTGCTGCCGCGGCCAATCGGATCGGTCTGTTGACAGGTCATGACGTCAGCAGACGATCTGGTGACGGCGCCGGCCTCGGTCAGCCTGCAGGACGCCAACGACATCCTGGAGAAGTCGAAGAAAGGCAAGCTGCCGATTGTCAACGACAACCAGGAGCTGGTGAGCCGCCTGGGCACTGGGCCACTGCGGGCCACGTCGTCTCCGCCACCGCCGCTGCCGCACTGCTGGCGCCACTGCGGCGGCCGCGCTGCGCCCTGAGGACTGGTCATAGTTGCGTTACCTCGCGCGCTGCACGCGTTGGTCGCGAGACTGGCGCCACCTGGTGGCTCGCCACCGTCGATTTGTGCCGGGGTTTGGCGGAGTGCTCCGTGTCAGACTTTCGGCCCCGTGCGGGCGGAGGGGGTCGGCGTGCTCCGGTGGGATTGCCACCGGATGTGTTGGCCCTGTGTTCCAACTCCAGAAAGCCTGCTGTGTATTGGGGGTATGTTCGTTACACGTCGAGGTAGATTAAGCATAGGCCTCGTTGCTCGTTCTATGCATGATCTCGTACCGGAATTTCCGAGTGCCACTCTAATTACCGATACGCCCGACAGGTGGCACTGATCGCGCGCACCGACCTGAAGAAGTCTCGCACCTACCCGATGAGCAGCAAGGATGAGAACAAACAGCTCCTGGTGGGGGCGGCGGTAGGCACGCGGGAGGACGACAAGAAGCGTCTGGAGCTGCTGTACCAGGCCGGCGTTGACGTCATTGTCCTCGATTCGTCCCAGGGCAACAGTGTCTTCCAGATCAAGATGATCCGCTACATTAAGGACAACTATCCCGAGATGCAGGTCAGTCGGGTGCGCCAGCCTGAGAGCGTTTAACGCTGGGGGAGGGAGGAGATGGGCTCCGATGGGAGGTCATGTGAGGCGTAGTGACTGCCAACCAGCCGGACCACCAGGCGTGCTGCGCTGGGAGGGGAGGGGGCTTTGTGTGGGCCTCGTGTGAAAGGATGGGCGGCCAGTTGGTATGTGATAACGATGTGTTATATATTTGTTTGTAGCACGTGACGCACTGACGCTCATCGGATGACGTCAGCGTCGAAAACTTCGCGGCGAGGGTGCAGCGGGCGTGGCTGTCGGGGCACGTCGTACGGTTATCTGGGTCTGCTTGCTTTTCCTGGAGAACACCACCAGCGCTCGACTGGTATGAACCGGCGGGCCCATGGTGGCGCTTGCGCGGTGCGTGCCGATCGTACGCCGCGTCTGCCGTGGCGGGACCTGCCGCCTGTAGACGGTGACCTCGGCTCCCCGTGCGTGCCGCGACCGGGCTCGCCACGGGCTGACCGTGACTGACCCTCACCGCCGCCCGTCGCCAGGTCATCGGAGGCAACGTGGTGACGGCGGCGCAGGCCAAGAACCTGATCGACGCCGGCGCGGACGGCCTGCGCGTCGGCATGGGCAGCGGCTCCATCTGCATTACGCAGGTGAGCGCCCCGCCCCGCCCCGCCCCGCCCCGCCCCTCCACCTGGGCGGGTCGGGGGTCTGTGGTCCGTGGGGTGTCGGCATGTTGCGGTGTAGAAGCCGTGTGGGGAGCCTCGCAGTGTCCGGGCGTTTGTGGGGCTGCCGCGCCCGCCGTGGCCGCGATCAGCGTGGTGACGCACAGTCGGATTGTGGAAATGTGTTGTGGACGGCGGTGGCGATGTCGGGGCCATCTGTGAGAGCGCTTGGGAAGCGAAGCCTCGCGCGACCGCCGTTCGTGACTTTGTGGCCGGGTTTCGTGGCACATAGGCGCCACTTATGGGATGACGGGTCATACGCAAGCGATGCGAAATGTTTGGTACGGATAACTATGTTATGTCATGGTTATACTGGTGTATTGTACGCTATCTCAATGCCTAGTATGGCGCTGCTTCCAAAGGCCAGGTGTGCTGTCCTTTCGTTGCCTTTTTCTTGTAGCAACTGAGACGTATTTAGTCAGCCAAGAAGTAGTTTGGCATTTTTCTTCAGAGCAAGCAGAAAATTCCGATTGAAGCAGCAGCTTTCTGTCCCAGTAAATCTCGGGAGCTGATGTATGGCCACTTGTAATTCGTCTTTTGTCGTGACGCTGTGAACTGAAATGCTACTGTAATGAATGCACCACCGCTGAAGCAGCCATGCAAACGGCGCAACTTTGCGGAGATAGTGCAGCGTAAAGGGAAGCTCCCAACAAACCCAGGGATTTCAACTGAACCGGAGAACCAATTCAATTGAAGAGATCGAACCCACCGGTCTATGATTGGCAGGTGCACAGAAATCCGTGAGATGCCTGTACGTTTGCCGGCCCTACGCTATTGACGCGGGAGCATTGTTGTAATGCACGGGTCCGACACGGGCATATGGTATGCTGAACCACTATCGCGCAGTCAGTACGTCGGTGCGGTAGGCCCTGGCGCGGCGGCGCCTCGAGCCGGAGAAAACATCGAAATGGCATCGTTCCATTGTGCCGAATCGGTCAAGGTTTAAAAGCGGCATTTTGAGATCGCAAGTTATCTGCCGGTCGGAAATAATGAAGTTGGAGAGCTTCTCGGCTGTTCCACAGCGCCTCTGGCCTCTGAATCGAAAACCAATAAACGCGTCAATGTATGATACGATAGAGGATCTGGCGGCAGGTTTCTGGCTGTTTGCCGAGAGGCGTGTCCGTGTAGCGGGTGGAGGGGACGTCGAGGGGACGACGGAGCTGCCGCCAGGTGGCCGTACCCTGCCGGGGTGCGGCAGCGGGCGGCGGCAGCCGGGCCTGCGTCCCTCGGGAGGCGCCGGTGACCGTGTCTGTGTGCCCCGCGCAGGAGGTGATGGCCGTCGGCCGACCCCAGGGCACTGCCGTGTACAAGGTGGCCGAGTACGCGCGCCGCTTCGGCGTGCCGGTGAATCGCTGACGGCGGCATCCAGAACGTCGGACACATCATCAAGGCCCTGGCCCTGGGCGCCTCCACAGGTGACAGGCGGCGGCTGAGTGTGTGCAACAGAAAATGGCGACAGACGTGCGGGCGGTTCACACTCTAGTTGTTTAACGGTTCCTACCGGGGACCATTCGCTGTACCTTGTATTAAGGTAGGATCGCAACCAACGTCGTCATCCACCATCTTTAGCCACAAACCCCTTTATACAACTATCACATGTGTGTCTGACGTACCCCCGACCTGTGTGTGGTGGCGTACCCCCTGATCTGTGTGTGTGGACACAACCCCTGACCTTGTGTGACATCCCCCGTGACCTGTGTCTGACGCAATTCCTGACTCCTGTGTGGCGTTCTCCCTGGCCCGTGTGTGACATACCCCGTGACTCGTGCGTGACGTAACCTCTCAACCGTGTCTCACGCACCCCGTCACCCGTGTGACGTACCCCCGTCACCCGTGTCTGACGCGCCCCCCGACCCATGTCTGACCGTGCCCCACATCCGCCAGTGATGATGGGCAGTATGTTGGCGGGCACCACCGAGGCGCCCGGCGAATACTTCTTCTCGGACGGAGTACGGCTGAAGAAATACCGCGGCATGGGCTCGCTGGAGGCCATGGAGAAGAAGCAGGGCACCCAGGGCGACCGGTACTCCACAAGTGAGTCTCGGCTAGCGCGACGACGGCTCGGTGGAGAGCGTCTCGCTCCACCCGGCGGCCGGGCCGATGCCATGAGGGCAGCTTGCTGCACGCTCTTCAAAGTGTGCGCGCGTTAATGACCACCGCCGCTGGTGACGCCTCTTCTCTTTGTGAGCGCTTCGGGGCCTTTCATTGTGTGGTGCGTTGCGTTTGAATGCTGTTTGCAAAAGAAGTAGTATGCATGGGTACTTTGCGCGGGTAAGAAGCAATTAATGCTGATTAGCTGGTAGCGTAGTTTGCTATTGTAATCTGCATCTTTTTTATCTTTTGTTTTTGCGTTGGGAGTGGGAAAGCAATCAGCCAGCCTGCATTGGGCAGGAGGCAGGCCGGGTAGGGTTCGTTGACAGTTGTACAACAAGGGCACCACGCCAGCGGCGGTGGGGCAATGCTAGCTGATGTTACATCTGTGGCTTATGGTACCGCGTCGGGACACGGAATAATAAAGCAGTTGTAGCGCTCTAAAGCCAACATACCGCTTGCGCTGATTGTTGTGAGTTGAGGAGCCAGTGCACGGTCTTAGAGAAGGGAGTAGACCTGTCCACAAAACGATGGAGCCACATAATGTCATATGCTATATTTCATAGCTTCAGAGAACCCCGCGGTGCTCGCCTTTCATGCACAGGATGAGAGGCAGGCGACGCCGTAAAGCCTCAGCAGCTGAGTGCTTCGTAAAACTGTAGTATCATGGCATGCCATGACATGAACAACTAATGCTGTTCGACAAATTGGGTAACTGGTGTGTTGATACGCAGCATCTTAACACAGGCGGCCGCCATTTTATTGATCCCGATCGGTCGATAGCCCATTGCTGCCCCGTACCCTACGCCTTGCAACAGCTGTGGACAGCGTGTTTTCTGCTGCTGACTGCATGAGCGGCTTTCAAAGCAGTGCGCTTCGAGCTGTCGTGCATTGGAACTTGGACCGAGAAATGTTTGAACTGTAGGACCACGTTCCTCTTTCCTTTAATATTCGATGTGTCGCAGAAAACAAGTTTGGTGGTTCGATTTCCATTGTGACTCGTCGTGTCTGGTTTGACGGGCGTTCCGTGACTGGACTTGGAAGGAGCGAGATCACGCAGCATGTGCGGCCCCGGGGTCCCTGGAGTCGTCGGTCGTCTGCGACAGCACCTGTGGTGGTTGTGTAACTCTCAATTATAATTTCTGGTGACACATCGTTTACTAGGAGAGGGATTCACGTGGTGAGTTACTCAAAACGACCTTTGATGCGTTTGGTGTAGCGCGATTGTTGGAAACCATCGTTGTGTGTTTTGTTTTGTAGGTCCACTGTTCGCCGTTTTCGATCCATTGATTCCGCTTGAGGTCTATCTTGAGGTCAATTTGACCCCGAGATGTAGGAATTCACAGGCTGATCATGACGTTCGAGTCCTCTGACTGCTAGATCGTAAATTACCTTTCACACATAAATATATAACATTAATAAAATTTGGCATTTAAAATTGTCAATGATTTGTCAATTGTGCGCGTATGAAGTGAAACAGCGGTTAAGATAAATGTTGAGACACGGTGTCTGTGGTAGATTCAAACCACATGCTACGAAACAAATAGCGTCCGGCGTTTATGTGCTGTTTGCAGCGCATACGAGTCGTTTTTTGTGTTGGTGGCGGACGCAGAAAGATGAGGATATGCGGTTAACTTTCACCTCTGGTGAAATTTACCCTCCATTTCTCCCCTCCCCCCCCCCCCCCTCCATGTATATCTAACCTTATATAACCTTTTGACCTCCCCTTACCTCGCATGGCATCGGCTACAGATACTGAACACGCTCATAAATGATAGTTGTAGAAATAATAATTGTATGAAAAATAAACGACTTGGTATGGTGGCGGACTCATACGGCAGAAGCTCAAGTTATAAATACAAATCGCCAAGTGTCAGAACAGTAGCTCTGCAGGCCTCGAATCACGATGAACAGCAGCTGTTAAAACTATGGGGAATGGGAGGGTGCTTCATACAACCCGCCCAGAAGTTAAAAGGTCAGGTCAGTCGAATTAGAGACGCTCACGACTGCACCTCGTGAACCCAAGCCCCGACTTGAACTCCGTGTGGTACGTAGACCTAGCACTTCGGCCGAAACGTGGCGCGAGAACCAAATGTTCCGCTCAACAGGCATACCATTGGGACGGGCCGTGTGATAAGATCTAATCGCTCAACGTCGGCACCCATGCCCTGAACGAGGCGATTTATTCGTGGCGCACTTGGCAGTGCGGCGTGCTTCACAGCAGCACCAGGTTTGGCTCGAGTCACGTGGTGTAACGCTGAGATTACGAGCGACAGCTGGCCGTCGCGGCGGCCAGAGCCGCCGGCCACGTCGAGGCCGCAGTTCCGCCGCCTCCGCGGCCGGCGCCGGACCGCCGGCCGTAATCCGGCCGGGCGCCGCCGGCGTCATCACGGCCGCACCATGACCGCCCTCGAAACGGCCCGCCAATGGCGCCGGCCGCCAGCTAAGCGCCCGTCGGGGCCAGCCGGCGGCGGCCGGTCGCGGCCCGTCGCCGGCGGCTCCGCGCGTGGCGTGTCGCGCCGCCGCTGCCGTCGGCGGCGGCGGCAGCGGCGGCGCACGTGGCGCCAGCGCCACGTCTCCCCGTGCGGGGGTGGCCGGGGTGCGTGCGTCACGCGGCCCGCGCGGGAGCGCGGAGAATGCCGCTGTTGCCGGTGGATGACGTGCGCTGGCAGCGCGCTCGTGGATGGACGTGCGGCAGAACCACCAGCCAACTGTTGCGCACGGTACATTGCGCAGCTCACGTACGCGAATTGGGATAATTTAAGTGTTGACTGGTGGTCTCAGCACCGGTAACGTGTATAAGGTTCATTCCTGTTTATGTAAGGTTCACTCGTTTTACGAGATAAGGCTAAAGGGAGCTGCTGAATGTGCTGTATGTCGTGTCTCGGAGTGTGCGGGTGCGATGATTGGTGCCTGTCTGCTCTAGGGAGGGGGAGAAGTTGAAGGTCGCGAAGGGGGGTCTGGTTGTCAAATAGCACGGGATGCAGTTGGGGCCGGATGGGAAGTCTGTCCTTCCCCTGGAGGGGAAGGAGGCTAAGGTGGCTCTGAACGTGTGTTGGTTGTCTGACGGCGCGTCGTTGCTCTGTACTGCCCCAAGAGAGGGGAAGACCGCTGAGGTGGCTCTGGGCGTGCCCTGGTGTCTGATGGTGCGGTATGACCTGTCTTCCCAGGGAGGGGGAGAAGATGAAGGTGGCGCAGGGCGTGTCCGGCAGCATCGTCGACAAGGGCTCGATCCTGCAGTTCGTGCCGTACCTGCAGGCCGGCGTCCGGCACGGCTGCCAGGACCTGGGCGCCAAGAGTCTCTCCATTTGCAGGTGAGGGCCGCACGCGGCGCCCGGTTACGGCGGCGCTGGAAATCCATCGCCCGGAAGTGACCAATGCAAGGCTGCGATTCCCGCCTGCCGCGGGCGGCTGAGGGCATGACGACCAATGAACGCTCGAGATCCGTCCAATTTGAAATGAAGGGGCCAATTGGGAGCTGCGATGCCCGGCTGTAGAAGAGCAAAGGTGACCATTTCCCCCTCTGGCAAAGGTCGTGCCCATAGATTTCGTCCATTTATTGTTACTGAACGCCTTCATTGAAATTCCCGCCGTGTCACTCAGAAAGCGCCCGAGGACATGCGGTTTCCTCGCTAAGGACGGCTAACATGGAATGTAGATGATTTGCTGACTGACTGATGGGCATAAGATCTATCCGCCATGAACCTTGACCCTCCCCCCCCCCCCCCCAGACAACTTTCACGGGGCCTCCGGGCTGGCATTGCCTTGATATTCATGTGGCCTCAGTACTTCCATTGTCCAGGCCTAAAACTTTGCAGTGGCAGCTTTTAGCCTCCACAACTTGCTCGTACCCTCGAACATATTTGTATTTCTGTTTTACTTTACTTGTGCCAAGTTTCAATGTGTTGTTGCTGGGTATTGTTTATTGTCATTATTCGCCTTAGAAAGTTGCATTTGCCACTAGTTGCATGTGGCAAGTTAGTTTTGTGAAACGTTGTCCCTGAATGATTGCGTCCGTATCGATCTTCCATAAAGCCTTCACGACTTTTGGCTTCTACGGGGATCGAACCCACCGTTGACCCGCGGCCGCCTGCCGGACTCCAGCTTCAGCTCTGGGGCTGAGGCGACGACGGACCGCGCCCTGCCACTGTAATGGGAGAGCTGACCAGGGGCCGGCTGCCGATCGCGGCTGGGCCGGACCGATGTGGCCGCTGGGAGTCGTGGCTGAGATTGTGCGGCGGCGGCGGCGGTCAGCCGGCTGGTGGCCTCGCCTGACCCGCTGCCGGACATCCGGCGCCGCCGGCCACCAGACGCGCCGCCTCAGATTGGAAACCTCGTTTCGGGACGCAGGAATTCTCAGCAAACGCCGGATGTGTCGGGAGCCCGTCGCCAAACCCTCGCGGATCGCCGGCCGCTGTCGTGGGCGCGTCGACTCGTGCGCGTCGCCCGTTGAAGCGGGCGTAGGCGCGCGGGCGCGGCTAGTGCCCCGAGGCTGCGATCGGACCGCCACACCATTTGGCAGCCGGCCTCAAGATTGAATGTGCTATTTGCTGTCTGTCAGGCCAGCAGCGCGTAGCGTCCGTGCCAGCTTAGTGGAACAATGGCCGAAGCCGACTTCATATAAGCTGATGTTGGACTGGACCTTGGCTCGCCATTAGCGATTTGTGAAGGGCATTCCAGTGGGGTTCAGAGTACCGCCAAGGACTGGAGGCAACGCGACGGGCCGGACGCGGCCTGAAATGACGGCGGAAAGTGTGCTAAGGGGGATTTTTGGTACAAGCACAACCATTTCGTCCGTCCCGGTGGCCCAGTTGGTTGGAGCGCCCGCCTTCCGATATACCCACCCGTGGCGTGGTGGGTTCGAGTCGCTTTAGGGCGCTTGCTACTTGCCGTCGACAGGTATGGCCTGCGGCCGGTGGCAGCGGTCGCGGCAAATGTCTGTTGATGCCAGAGGGCTGGATGGACCGTGCTGAACAGTGTGGCACGTTAAGCTTTCGCCCCATAAATTCTGCCGTTGCGTGGAATTGCGCGATCGGATGGTGGGGCTCAGGGCTCACGCAATAGGTACTGCTGGCGTGAGTAATGATCCAAGAAATCCATCCATTCAAAGTGTTCGGACCAAATTGATAAAAAATAACAAAATAAAAAACAGCAATTTTCGGAATCGTTAGCTGTATACATGCGCGTAGCTACGGTGCGCGGCGGATAAGTTGTGTTCCTTTAAACTTGGTGTTAAACATAGGAATGTGAGCACAATCAGTAAAACAAGATATATAGAAACATGCTGGCCATTGCTCGAAGAGTTCGAAAAAGCCTTTAATCAAGTTTCACCACAAAAGCTCACGATACCCCCAACGACGCGAAAACCCTCAACAAAACCGACGATAAACCTGAGCGTTGGCAGCACTTCCCAGCAGGCGATTAGTGACACAGAGACGACCTCGCGGTTATGTTGTGGACGTCACGGCGGCGCGATTTGTCCTGGGGCCGGCGCGCTAGCAGTCCCCGGTTGCTTTGCGCTACCATT